ATGGTGGCGCAGTGTGTTTTTCTCTTTCCCACAAGCGATTTTCCGTGTAGCCTGCATGACAGGTGCTTTATGAGCCAAGCGGGGCGAACGTCTCGCGCTTCTCGCTCGTGTCGCGCTCCGCGCGAAATATCGCTCATAATATATTGCTCATAAAACGCCTGTCATGCAGGCTATTTCCGTGAAAAGTCAACGGAAATGGACGACAAAAACTGTTAATGTTATTGTAAAAAAAATCGACAGCAATTTTCCATGGTCTGTACTCATATCAACCATAGAAATGACGTCAAAATATTCAAAACTTTAAAATAAAACCACTCTCTTGCGACTCGTGGTTCCACTTGAGTTTTGAACATTTTGACTTTATTTCTATGGTCAATAAGATTACAGACCATGGAAAATTGTTTTCGATGTGTTAAGCAACACTGATTGAGAATTATGGTTCCGAAACAAGAAGTCCTCGAATCGTGGCCATGGCCGTTCGGCTTGTTAGCAGGTCGGAAGGCATCAAGAGGTATAGATTTAAACACAGTAGGGTGAGAGAAGGATAATGGTATTGGCGCCTGCTGTCACTTCCTTAATACCCATGACCGCTCTAAATCCGTCATACACGCAGAAACTCTTTGCGACCTCATCAAATTCATTCTCACTATAAACGTCTATTTTTATTCCATCTCTTTCATAAATACCCTTCATCCCACTATTAAATTTACATCTAACTACTCTTGCATGGAAATCTTTCTCCTTTCTCGACGTCAGGGTGTCCCTCAATGACGGTATCGTTGAAACTGTTCTTTGATACTAAACCTACAGACAAATATATTAGAATATTCATGCGAAACTTGGAACCCTCATACTAAACGTAACATTGGTAAACTGGAGGCTGTTCAGCGAAGAGCTACCAGATGGATCACAAGGTCTGATGATGATTATGATACTAGACTATCTAAACTAAAATTGTTGTCATTATCTAATAGGAGGTTCACTAGAGATGTTACATTTTTTTTAATGTAATTAATGGACATTATGATATTGACATTTCAAATAAGCTCATACGTTTTCTAATGGTCCGTCCCTAAACGAGCTTTTCCATTCAGCCTTGCCCTCAGAATACGACGTATATGTTCCTCCAACGACACGCACAAGCTTCGTTGTAACGAACTAACGAAATACCTTATTATTCATTCAAAATATTTCCCCAATTCTGATTGGCTTAAAGCACACACATAAGTCACCATAAACAGTTGCTGATGACCAAATTTGGAAGAATTTTGTGTTTAACGAGGGAATGACGTCAAAAGTGCAGCCCGCTACAGGTTAAGGCACCGTTACCAAGAACACCTGGGGACGAGGTTGAGTTGTTTTGGTTGTGAAAACAAAAATGGCGGACACTTCACTCGTTTCAAGAGTAAGAACTACAGCGGCAACTAGGCGAAATGATAGCTAAAAACATAGCAAAAACAACAAGAAGACAACTCGGAGGGTAACATCTGCTATTTGGAGAATATTTGCGGGGCTGGACAAACCTAAACGTACACCATCGAAGATGAACTTTACATCAACGCAGGTAAGCATGTTTTAGCTATGTTTTTAAACTAGGGATTATTTTGAATGAATAGTAAAGCAATTCAGTAATGAATGAGGCTGAGGAGGATATGAAGAGTTAAGCAGATCGAGGAGGGTATTATCCACCGAGGTCGAAGGCCCAGTTGGATAAGACTTGAATAACACCCTCCTCGACCTGCTTAATTCTTCACATCCTACTCAGCCTCATTAATTATATTGCTGATTAACAGACGTGGATACAATGTCAGTTTCCTCAACCAGAAGAGTGTTCACACTATCACACGCACTGACGCACTCAAACCCAGCGACGGGCCCAGCAATGCCATAACCGACTCACCTACACCTATTCCTCTTGTTGCCGGATACGACCCAGCCCTTCCCTGAATATCATATATTTTTCACAAACATATCCACATTCTATCTTCCTTACAACGTTGTGCTACTGTGTTTAAATCTATACCTCTCGTTCCCTTCAGGAGTACTAACCAGCCAGAAGTCCGCGATTCGCGGACTTTCCGTTAACTCTCGATTAATGTTATAGACTGTCTACAGTCCCCTATCGTTGAGACCGAACGCTACAGGCGGCCATCTTGACCGGTGAGGGAGATGACCATCTACTTTACTTAGGGGTTGAGGGACGGTTGGGAACCCCTACGCCCGCCCTCTCGGTACATTTGAAATCAATTACAAAATGGCTGCCAGTGACAGTGAGTGCTCGATCTTGACGATCTTAAGGGAAAATAGGGCACTGTGAACAGTCTATCAGTGTGATAATTAACTTTAACTAATTATTGTATCACGTTAGCCAAAGGTAGTTGTAATAAAAACAGTAATTTCCTTAGGCTCCGCCGGTTCCGCCGGTTCCGCGGTCTACAGTTCCTCAGATTAGTCTTACCCAAGATCTCCTTTAATCCTGCAAGAAGTTACTGTGAAACTCACAAATCAGTGAACACCAGAAATATTTATGAAATGTTATCAGGAGTACCCGACGGAGCCGCTCGACAAAATACCCGCTCTTCAGGCAGAATTTGAGCTAGCTGAAAAAAAAAACATGGCTAATTAGCTGGCTGGAAATCTGAATGAGCGCCCGCTAGCTGAAAATATGAAAAATTTATGCCGGTTCTGGCTGGATAAAAAGGTATATTTTTTCTCTTGGCAATGGCACTGTAATATTTCCGTGGCCGGCCAGTGACCTATCCCCACTACGTGTCAATCCTTACCCTACCCGTGATTGTTTGCGCCTTAACAATCGGGTAAAGTGAAGAACGAGAAATATTCACTTTATTGAAAATATTTTCAGTACGCATACCCTTGAAATTCATCAAAAGTTGTACATATGCGCGAGTTTCAGCGTCAGTTTTTAGCTTGTAAACCATATCGACGTTAATTCTGGATACCGCAGCCCTTTTATTACGTCATCACGTAATTCGAATTGGCCCTATAATTCGGTCGTGAATAAGTCAATGTCACCCCCACCACCAATAACATAATTATGTCGTTGATTCCTTTCATTTCAGTTAAAATCAGTGTCTTTCACAGCTCAACTTGTGTGCAGTAGCACAATTTTTCTCTTTTTTCACTTTACCCGACTGTTAAGGCGCAGACAATCACGGGTAGGGTAAGGATAGACACGTAGTGGGGATAGTCACTGGCCGGCCACGGAAATATGGAGCGTTAGTGAGGAGCGGCCGTCAATGCATTCAATATCGAAACTACGGAAAAGTGAAGGTAAATCCATAGCCAATTCAATAAAAAACTAAGGACAGCGTAGCAAACATTGCAAGTGTACACGAAAACAATTACTTTCAATCCTACCTCGTGACACCCTTTGTGACATGATAACGCAACGCAAATAGCGTGACATGAGTGCATATGTCTGTGTATTTGGACTGCATTTCTCAAGCAAAACCTTGTGTTTTTGTCTATTGTCGGCAGAGAAAATGAAAAGAGAGCTTTGAAACGTGAACTGGTATTTGACTCTCAAAGAAAACGACAGCTCAAATCGAGGAAAACACTGCTTCCTTCGTGTTTCAACGGTTAACCACGTTTCGGCAAACGGAAAGTAACATTAGTCTGTTATGACCTCTTAATGTCGATGTGTATTCTCGTGGTTAACCGTTGAAACTCCTTATTTGCACCACATCGCTGGAATTTTTCTCGCAAAGAATACGTATTGCGAAGCACTTTCTACATAGCGGAATCTTCTTTTGCCTTTTGCGAGGAATTAGCGCATAAAAAAGGAAAATTTTCCAGCGCACCGCCGTCATCGATCACGTGTTATCCCGCTTTCCTTGTCATCAGGTGAACTTCTGGGCCAAAGTATTTGCTGTTTTGGCGATGATACAAACTGGTGTGTCTATCTTGAAAACAATTTCTTTGGCATTCTGTGATTTACGAGCTGCTAGATGAAATAGTTGAACATCCAACATCAATAAAAAATGATGCCACTGAATAAATGGCAGGCGGTCATCTAAAATCATTACAAAAGTACATTTCCTAACCTGGTCTAACCTGTTCAACGCCTACCTACGCTAAAGGTTTCGATCAGTTAGGTTTGAAAAGGTCTCCAAAAAAACCCCATCTAAATATAGGGCATAGCACAAACGGCTGGCCCGTCATTTATGAGGTTCATAACCTGCATATTGTCCACGTCCTTTCACTAATGACACAAGTCAATGTCAAAAATAATGCATGTCCACTCCGTTACTCTGAAGTACTTCATTCGCTTAAGTTAACCACTTGCCAGAACAATTTTCATCGTACCTTAATGTTTCCATCCTTTTTCCACTATTGATAATACTTGTGAAAACATTACATCCGCAGCAGCGGCATTGATCACAACACAAATGATCGACCCGACAGGGTATCGGGAACGCGCGCGGCGGGACAAGATTAAGTAATGACATACGCTTCGTACATTTTACTCTACGTATACTACAAATCAGGACGAAACTTTACAAATTGTTAAACAAACAATTTGGCCCATAGAGTAACGTCATCGCACAAAAATTCAGCAGCGTCAAAAATCTAGCCGGAAAACACAGATATATATTTGAGACATGTAGCATTTTCATTGGCGCTTGGGTATGAGCGGAAGCTTTATGGGATCCTGGCGGAAGCTACAGTAGTTTCCGAGAATCGATTTTTGTATTATCCTAAACCGCCAGTCAGGTTTTCAAAAGCCGACGGACGAATGATGTTATATCAGTTTTGAAAGTCAAGATGAACAAGTTTAGCGCTGAACAACTCATCTTGAAGCTTTTCGCCTCTGTCGTCGAACCACGTAATTCAGTATCGATCATCGCTGTCCAAAAAGCCTGAAGACTCTGGGTACAATATTGTAGCCGAATCAGAAAGTCGTCTCCAGTACCTCTCGGCTGTCCTTCTGACCGGTATTTATATTTAGGGACAACCGCAAGGGAAAGTTTTCCGTGACGGAAACCATAAAAATCAACATATTAAGACGAAATTCATCAAAGGCTTTCTTCCTCAGATCAAGAGGTAAGAGTTGTGTATTACATATAGAATACTTCATAGAAAGTGCGTGGTTATGGTATTTTAAAATACGACTGAGTTGTTGCAGTTTGAAAAATCTCACTTCCTGCTCTCGCTTATACTCGTTCCATGGTTTAATATTTGAGTTTGAACTCGAACTTGAAAGTGCGTGGTTATGGTATTTAATACGACCGAGTTGTTGAGGCATGAGAAATTAATCTCACTCCCTGCGCTCACTGTACTCTTGTAAGCTCGTGTTTATACTCGTTCTATGGTTATTAAAACTTTAGAATACCGGCGGCCACTTGAATATTTGCATCTCTTTGAATGACAAACATTCCTATTATGTTATTCCTCGATCAGCTGTAAGAGCAGTTGTCTGTAAGATTCGAACTATATACTGAAAAGTCGCTGCCACACTATCTTACCGAATTGGCTGAAAATTGGCATTTGGACTTGATTTGGGGTCTTTAATAAGGAATAGCTAACTTAAGGTTTTAATTCCTCCTATTTCGGAAATTATGGACATGGCCGGTTTTTGGGTGCTTCGGACCGGCGCCATATTGGTTAATAGAAGATGTTTTTGAGCCTTCGACTACAGCCCTGTCTTGAAAGCTAATCTTTCTTTGCCGATACAAATGAAAGAACTATCCCTCTTTATTGTATTTTTAGAAGCTACTTCGAAATTGATAACGTTTTCGCAACGATATGATCGATTAAACTTTGGTGGGTTTACTTTTTGAATTTTTTACACCTGCAAAATTAATAGAACGTCAAAGGCGTATATCTCTCTTGTCATATCGCATTGAAGCTTGCCACTCGTACTCTGCCTGAATACTCATTGTTTGTAGTTAAATCTAGTTCGTTAATAAAAAAAATTGGGCAAATTTAACGGAGCAGAGACAAAAGTAATGAATGGAAGAGTGTTCTAGCGACTTTGTCAATAAGCTTTACACCGAATACTCGCCAGGTGTCTAGTAATACTATGGGTTATTTTTGGGCCTGGGTTTTCCCAATATTGGGATTGAAATTTCCCATCCAAATCCCATCAAGTCTAGAATAGACCAACAGCTTTTGTACAAATCAACTTTGATAATTTGCATTTTCTTATCAAACAGTTTTAATGCACTTAACTATATTTTTGGTTTAAATAAAACATAGTGCATATTTTGTACAAATAATCTATTTGAATTTATTCAAATAAATAAGTATACATATCTTAGAATTTCAAAATATCTTATTCAAATGCATCCATCAATGTCTCAAGTGCATTTACACTGACTGGTTGTTCGATTTACAGTACAATATGGAAAGCATCAAGACTTCTTGCTTATATAATGTATAATATAGAACATTAACTAATCCAGCACAACATGCTTCAAAGGTAAGGTCTTTGCTTGGTTAAAACTGTTAGTACCCTTGAGGAAAGGTTACAACAGTAAACTCTTTTTAAGTTCTCAGAAAAAACACAGTCCTTTTAGGAATTAATTGTCATAAAATCAACATCATCACTTTTAAATTGATGAAAGGTAACTATATTTCAGTCCCCTTGTTCCCTTTTATCATAGTCATCTTCAGCTGGGATCAACAGGTTCACCAGGGATGCCACATATTTGTGCCTTGCTGGCTTCTTGGATACTCCCCCCCCCAATAGTTGAGATAGTGTGAGGGACATGAGATTTCTAGGTGTGACAGAGAATCTCAGTCTTCTTCAGCAGCCTTGAGATCTCCTCTCTACCCCAAACACTTCCACATATAAATCTCACAATCATCTTGCAAAGTTTTGGTGACAACTGAATACTGCTACCCCCCTCTGCAGTACTAGCCTGGAGAGGTGGTGGGTTTGCGTCTTTTTCGTTTTCAGATTCATCTGGTGAAAGTGTCGACCCAGATCTACTAATATCGCCACTGTTCTGCATTTTTTAAATCAGTAATGTAAATCAAAAACCTACAAAATTTAAATATGGTGTATGTTTTATAATGCAACCTGTGTTAAATCCAGCAGATGGAACTGCACATGTGTACTTACTTTACCTCATACTTTATACTTGATAAAGCACTCCTGCTCTTTAAACTATACATAATTTAGATTATATCTGCTTCCTACCAAAAATCAGTATGTACTCACATCTTCATCACCCTTTGAAAAAACCAAGTTATTTGTTCTCTGTCTGAACGTTTGACCTTCAATGCAATAAATAATGATAATACCTGAAAAACGACCTAGTGATACAAATATGCATGTAATGCATATTTTTATGTTCCTTTTCATCTCCACAATATGGCATACATACATATTTTTAGTGTATTATATATTATAAGCTTATATATTATCTGAGATGAAAACCTAGAAAGCTATGACCTTCACTCCTGCCATTTTTACAGTAGTCAAAACATGTATCGTGCTAGACAGTTTTTGTCATTCTCAATCAAGTCAGTGCTTTTATTTTGGAACGTGTAGGTATTAGAGTTCTCGCAATTTTCACTGGTAGTAGTCATGTTTCATTAGAATTAAGCTTCGTTGGTGTATAGATATAGGTATAGGTATAGGTAAATCATTGATATGCATAAGGGTCGAGTCCATGACGTCACCCATTGATATAACGTGGGTAAAAATGCGTTCCTCCATCTAATAACTGTCTTCCTGCATAATAATTCGGTATAGGTTTACTAATGAGCATCTCTCTACTACAATAGGAACAATAGGCTTGCCTAGGCTTGCCCGTTAAGTAACTTGAACCTGGTTTGAACGTCTATTAAGAGGCAAAAATAGGAATAAGAAAGCGATCACCTAGCAACGCGAGAAACGGCTTACTATATCTTATTTAGCGCTAAAACTCGTACAAAACACATACACAAAATAGAACTGAAAACTCTCTATTTCAATTTTGTCTGACGTTTTCTCCTATCTATCGCGAGGAAATGAAAAACTATTACAGTCTCAGCGTTTCACGGACAGTTAGTCACTTAATTGTGCGAGTTCGCAAGCCCAAAGTTGAATACCAATTTCCTCTACAGGAAAGACCCAAGGGAGCACCTTGACGTATTATTATATAAACAGTTTTATAAATAACTTAACAAGGATCAATTAAAACACGCGACTAATAATTGCTAGCAATAAAACCACAAGAGAGATACCGTTTTAAAAACTTTATTAAAAACAATGACAAAAAGAGTAAAATACACAGCGATTTGTAAGGAATGGAAATTAATTAATCTTCATCTTCGTTCTCCTCTTAGAAGGGAAATAGAAATTGGTTTCCAACGTTTTCGCGTTTTGTGTGTAACTGTTCCACAGTCGTGACACCGACACTTTCATTTAATTTCTCCCCTCGGGAATCTGGTGATCGCATATAGGACAAATCTTGTAGTAATCGTGCCAAAAGCATTTAGAACATTTCATGATCAATGTGCAGTACACATTAGTGTTCTCACAATGTTCACAGGGACTTTTAGAGTGAAAGGCGGTGGACGTTTCAGGGCTACTACTTTCTGTTTCCTGAATGTCGTTTTCAGTGTCGTTGTCGCTCTCTTGGGTGCCTTTAGCGTCAACGCCATTCTCAGAAGGCACTTCCTCCTCCTCCTCCTGATTTTCAATATCCGATGAACTCTCCTCGTTATTACTCTCGTTATCGGAAGTATTTTCTACATTTTGGTAGCCTTTTAACTTTTCTATTAAATCACTTAACTTTTTGTTCTTGATTAAACCTTTATCGATTCCTAACTCTGCAAGTCCATCTAGAAACGTATTCAGCGCATGAGGCTTGGTAACCTCAGCGTTATGAGGGAGTAACACATACTCAACTAGCTCAGCGATGTTTGTGACGGGAATGGTGCGTTTATTTCGCAATAATTGTCCGCTGGGAGTCCAGAAAAGAATATCTTTGGACGTAGCCATACTATATGCAGCAAATCAGAAGCACGCTTTTCCGGCAGGAAAACAATAGAAATGCGGTGGCGGTGGTGGTGGTGGTGGAAAGAAAACTGCAATAGCAATGTGGTGGTGGTGGTGGAGGGAAAACAATTGAAATGTGGTGGTGGTGGTCTTGAGGGAGGAAAACAATAGAATTTTATGGCCTGAAAACCGTAAAATGCGCAACATTCTACCTCTTTCTCAGTCTCTTTCGTTCTGTTCTGTCTACGAAAACTCCTTGAGTAGAAGAGATAGTATGCAAAGGCACGTGATGTCTAAACACCGCAATGCTGGTCTCACAGAATGTCAGCGGTTTTGCTTCGAGCATCCTTCTTCACCTCCATTATTGCCGGAATGACCGGGTCCTGGATAACGGCCTGGGCTCGGTCTCTGTTGCAATAAGCTTCAGAGACCATTTACCCTTCCCCGGAGAGGATCGTTTGGTGTTATTCACAAAGGCAGCCTGCGTATACACAAATGTTAGTCGCCATGCCACACATTGAATTCGTTAAGGGAATTCCTACGGCTTTGGAGCAGGATTTCCATTTTGATGCGAACAAACGGAATTTGATCATGTTTGATGATCAGATGATTGATGCCAGTAAAGACAAGCGAATTGTGAACCTCTTTACTCGTGGTTCTCATCATCGCAATCTGAGCGTGATTTATATCGTGCAGAATCTATTTCACCAGGGGAAAGGTAGCCGCAGCATAAGCCTAAACAGTCATTATTTGGTGTTATTCAAGAATCCACGAGAAAAATTGCAAATCTTGACTCTGGCCAAGCAAATGTATCCCGGACAAACTGATTTCTTTTTAAATCAGTACGAAGAGGCTGTAAAAAGACCTTTTGGTTATCTTCTGATTGATCTGAAAACTACTACCCAAGATAATTGTCGGTTGCGAACAAACGTCCTGCCCAGTGAAGAAGGCTTTAACCAAGCAGGGTTTGAAGAAAATATTCCTCAAGAGCTTCTAAAATGTCTGAAGCAGCAAACTCTTTCGCCTGTCCTGCTTCTTCCAGCTATGCAAGAAATACAAGGCAACATGGATGACGTGCTTTCTCGAAACGATCTTCGGGACGATAAAAATGCTAAACGATACTTTCAGTTGAAAAACAGATACCTTGCTTTTAAAGAACAATTAAATACAAGAACACGACCGGAAGAAATAATCAGCACTGTTCCAGACTTAACATCAAGGACACAAGATTCTTCGACAGCAACGACAGCATTCTCCACTCCCCTCAACCCCTTTATTAACACAAGCCGGTATCTCTCAAAAACCTGACAAAGAAAGCCTCACCCCTCCACAACCCTTAAAACCTGCTTTCCTGACCCCTCCTTCCACAGTAGAAATCCCATCACAACAAGGCCCGAAGCGCAAAAGGCGTCGGATGCAATTTGTAAATTATCTGGGTGATCATAAAGCTCATGCCAAGCAGCTGAGGAAACGTCGGCATAAGTAATTCAAACCTTACAAGTACCCCATGGGCGAAAAAGATGAAGGTTAATTAATTTCTATTCCTTACAAATCGCTGTGTGTTTTACTCTTTTTGTCATTGTTTTAAGTTTTTAAAACGGTATCTCTCTTGTGGTTTTATTGCTAGCAGTTATTAGTCGCGTGTTTTAATTGATCCTTGTTAATTTATTTATAAAATTGTTTATATAATAATACGTCAAGGTGCTCCCTTGGGTCTTTCCTGTAGAGGTAATTAGCATAATTAACTGACTAACGGTTCGTGAAACGCTGAGACTGTAATAGTTTTTCATTTCCTCGAGATAGATAGGAGAAAACGTCAGACAAAATTGAAATAGAGAGTTTTCAGTTCTATTTTGTTTATGTGTTTTGTTTATATATATCCGAGTTTTAGCGCTAAATAAGGTATAGTAAGCCGTTTCTCGCGTTGCTAGGTGATCGCTTTCTTATTCCTATTTTTGCCTTTTAATAGACGTTCAAACCAGGCTCAAGTTACTTAACGGGCAAGCCTAGGCAAGCCTATTGTTCCTATTGTAATAGAGTAATGCTCATTAGTAAACCTATACCGAATTATTATGCAGGAAGACAGTTATTAGATGCAAGAACGCATTTTCACCCAGGTTATAACAATGGGTGACGTCATGGACTCGACCCTTATGCATGTCAACGATTTTTCACTCACGTGGCCAGCATCTATGCAAATTTATTGTGAGAGTTCAACTCCCAGAGGACTGGTTTGGGACACCAACATGGCCGCCGTTTCATTGTTTTGGGACACTAATATGAGCGCCGTGACATCATGTGAAAACACTCTATACCTATATCTATATACCAACGAGGCTTAATTCTAATGAAACATGACTATTAACCTCCTCAACCCCTCGACTTCATGAAGCTTTAATTTTCTTGCAAAAGTTCAGTATAGTACGTAGGCAAACTGGACGGCGATCGAATAAACTAGGAAATTTTATATTAGCTAGGAAATGTTGATTAAATTGTTCTAGTCTTCGCTAATGCAAAGTACCGCAGATTGTTGTTGTTAAATAAAAACACGCCTAAAAGTTAACGAAAACTAAAAAAGAAAGAAACTCGGAAGGTTTGTAGCATTCTGGGCGGTTTCCCGCCGAAAATATATGAGCAAGGTTCTTACGTTCAAACGGTAATAACATCCTTTAATTCGTTTTAAGATTTCCTTTGCACTTAGATTCTCTATATCCCTAAATTGTTCGTTTTGTTCATCTTTATCCGTTTTCTTCAGCTCTCAAGTCTGAATTTTGCGAGGACAAAGCACTGGAGTTAAATTTTCTTTTCCCGCCGCCATCTTTAAGGAAGAAAGAAAGCCATGTGGCGTTGGGGACGAGAATGCCCCGATTCTCTTTCCCCGCATGAGCACAAAAACGGCTCGCACGATCAGCGGGAGACGAAGTCAACCTCGACTCAGAGCTCTTCTGAGCATGTAGAGGAGAGAGATCAAGAGTTCTGGGGAACCCTGGAGCAAGATTGCCTCTGATTGGTTTAAGCAAAAAACAATAAAAGTGTACCTGATTGGTCCATTTAAGTTTGCACGAGAGCGGTTGAACGTGCGGCGTGTCTGGCGTGTGAGCAGGTTTTTCCCAAGAAATAGGGAACTTAAGGTGGCTCGATACAGTTTTTCAGGGTCAATACCTCCCAAGTTTGAGCGTAAACTACGTCGCCATAAACAAAGATTTGGAAAAATTAACACCACAGTTGTATTAGATAAAGATGAAAATTGGTTATGATCAGGGTTACAATGACATCGGAGTTGTCATAGCAACGAAATGACGCCATTACCTATTTTACTTGCAGCAGTATTTCTCGGCACTGGGAACTGTTCTTCCAAAATCGTTTACTGGAGCTTTTACCTACGATAGCTGCCTCAATGTTCGTGAAGTTTAAGCGAAATCTGTAAGAGCGTTATCGAGATATTTTGGGATGAAGTTTTTCTGGTTAGAAATACGGTAAAAAATTGACAATCTTGATGTTCGACTGTGATCTGTGCTAAACGAAGCGCTTTTTTTGCAATTTCACCTCATAGTAGTTTCAATCTTTTTAAAAACGTGTGTGAAAGATCATGGAGATACCTCCAGCCGATTGCTAGAAAGAAGGATTTGATTAGTACGTATCGGGGCGCTCTTGTTAGCCGTAATGTAAACATTTCGGTTTACTTTAACAAATTAGCGAATAATTTTTAAACCACTCGATAAATTTTCTAAAAAATTTAAGAGTGTTGAGATAAACCGTCCTTTTATTTGACCTCTTAGTTTCAAGATTATTGATATATTGTAAGGTAGTAAAATAAGGGCTACAATTCGCTAATATTTTGTCAGAAATTTTGTCTTTGCAAGTGAGAGCCTCTTATTATTCAGGGGTATTGTCTCAAAGTTTCATTTTCACGTGAACAGCAGTAACTAACAATGCATTTGACATATGTAAAACTGCTAGCTATTGTTATGCACGAAAATATGAAACTTGGAGACAATACCCTGAATAATGAGAGGCTCTCACTTGTAAACACAAAAAATTCTGACAAAATGTTAGCGAATTCAAGCCCTTATTTTACTGCCTTACAATATATCAATAATCTTGAAACTAAGAGGTCAAATAAAAGGACGGTTTATCTCCAGATTCTTAAATTTTCTAAAAAAATTATCGAGTGGTTTAAAAATTATTCGCTGATTTGTTAAAGTAGACCGAAATGTTTACATCACCGCTAACAAGAACGCCTTGATACATACTAATCAAATCCTCCTTTCTAGCAATCGGCTGGAGGTATCTCCATGATCTTTCACACACGTTTTCAAAAAGATTGAAACTACTATGAGGTGAAATTGCATGTCAAAAGCGCTTCGTTTAGTACAGATAACAGTCGAACATCAAGATTGTCAATTTTTTACCGTATTTCTAACCAAAAAAACTTCATCCCAAATATCGCGATTACGCTCTTACAGATTTCGCTTAAACTTCACGAACATCGAGGCAGCTATCGTGGGTAAAAGCTCCAGTAAACGATTTTGGAAGAACAGTTCTCAGTGCCGAGAAATACTGCTGCAAGTAAAATAGGTAATGGCGTCATTCCGTTGCTATGACAACTCCGATGTCATTGCAACCCCGATCGTAACCAATTTTCTTCTTTATCTAATACAACTGTGGTGTCAATTTTTCCAAATCCTTGTTTATGGCGACGCAGTTTACGCTCAAACTTGGGAGGTTTTGACCTTGAAAAACTATATCGAGCCACCTTAAGAACCTCGACCAAGTTCACGACGACGACGTCTGTTGACCGGGAAAAGAGTGGAACGAGAAAGTCAGTTTCGGCGGGAAAAAGGAAACTTAAGATGCAGTCGGTCGGTAGGTCGACGACGACGACACTGAATGTAAACACAAATGTAAAACTGTGATGTTCGTTCGCAACAAAGTTTTTCGCAATGGCGTCTTTCAAAACAATGCAAGATCTTGGGCGCTTTCCATTTACGAAAAAAACCCGGAAATTTCGGTGATAGCAAAAGTGGAATTTCCGATTGGTAAAAAGTTGTTCCATTTGGTCGTAAGCCCCGGTACGTGGCGGTGCCCGACCGTGGACCTGGAACTGGTACAAACTACGAGAAACGTAAATGGAACACGACATTCCGTTCGGAAATTTCAATCGGGAAAACGGGACCACCTTTTTAGATTTTCCACCTTTTCTGGGAATTTTCCAGTGGGACGAACCAACGAAACGTGTTCCATTTACCGCCGAACCGGAAATTCCGGAAATTTTGAGTAAATGGAAAGCGCCCCTTATTTGTTCAAGCCGTACGTCTAATGTCATTGACGATGAAAAATTTTTTGTGTTGTCTGAGTGGAAATGCACCTAATTTCCGCTCGAAATTATTCAACTTTCAACTTGAATGAGATGACCGAGTCCGAGTGTCTGTCAGAGTTTAGATTTCGATTTCGATGATTTGCCTTACCTAAATACGTACATATAAATTTATCACTGACAATTCACTTACGAGTTCGCTCGCTAGTCCTCCACAGCTATTGTCATTCTTCGAAAATCAATTCATTAGTCGAATTTTCAATCAACATCGATTGTTAGGAGAAAAAGGAACGATACCTGGATTTAGGAGGATAAGAAAATGGAGAGGCCTTCAAAAATCGCTTAAAACAGTGGATTTATACCCGCCGAAGCTTGTGGATTGCAGGACGACGTGATTCTACTTTGTTTGGCGCGTCGACGACACCACGACGACGAAATTTACTGGTCGCGCTTGCGCAGTACACTGTAACTCACTTCCGGTCGTCGTCGATCGAGCCGTCGTCGTGGTTCTTAAGTTCCCTAATGTTGAAGTAAACACGACCGGCCGATTCTTGATTTCAGCGATTCCAAAACAACGTTTGCACGACTTATTAGGCAGAATTACTGGATTTTCCAGTTTTCAAATAAAATAGCTTAGCTACATATCGAAAATTGAACCAGAAAAAGATTTGAATGTAAAAAAATAGAATAAAAATACACTGACATCTTTGCCAGCTATAATTTAAGAAGCACGACACATTACTGATCATTCTTTGACTTCCACGTTATCATATTCACACGAAGTGGCCTAGTATGAAGGAAAACTTGAGCTTCTTGTCGTAAATTGCCCAAAAACAGACTTGCAAGAAAAAAAAACAGACAAAATTAAATCGTTTCCTAAAGTGATGCGTGTACAATGCGACTAGAATAGTTGTCTTCTTTTCCCACGATATCGCATTTCAAAACAGCTTCGCTAAAGTGTTAATATTCATGAACAAACATAAATAAAAGGACGCTAAATTCATATTTTGGAAAGTTTTATTGGAATTTCGATACGTCTATCTTAACAAGCCATTCGTGTTTCACTTACCGCCTCGTGAAGTAGTCCACAGAAATATTTAATCAACTGTCAAGCATATGCAAACTTCAAGTCTCAAATCTGTGATTGGGAACGTTTAACGTTTTTACGCGTAAGCACTGGCGTCGAGAATGGAGATGAAGTCTGAACGCTAGATCCATTTCGTCCTGATAGAAATTCTCAGAGTGACGGCAAAGTGTTTTCTCAGACAAACATTGCATTGAAAGTCTCGAGCCGCTGCATTAACTTATTAAATAGTTTTCCAGCCCGATTCCTTCAGTAACAACTTGAATAGATTTATATGCTAGTTTTTATGGAACTCGACACGCGTCGTTGCACCTTCAGGGAAGATTCCTTCAATAGACGACCGCATTTGAACTTAAATTATAGTACCTTCACTTTAGATTTCTTGTTTTAGGAAAGCAAAAGAAAAACAGCGCGAGAAATACGACTAGCATACGTGCATTGCGGCCAGACTTATTTGACAGCTAGTCATTTACAGTTGCGTTATTTTTGTTATTTTTTAATTCGTAGGCGGGATGGCGAAAAGGGCTTGCTTGCAGGGGTTCCCCTCTTCTCTCCTAATTCCCTTCCCGTTCCTTTCGTACGCCTGCCACGCAGGCTACTGGCGCAGGGTCGACCCTTCTACTAGAATTTCATTTCATGACATAATGTTATTTAAATTTATACTTTTTTTTTTTTGCACTATTTGCATTATACAAGTGTGGGCTGGTATTCTAAAAACAGAAAACCATTTTTTTTTATTAAAGCTATTCATGAAATAATCCAGAATGTATTCCTCTTCCAGAAAAAGGTCAAACGGACGTACCCAGCTTGTATACATTCTGAGCCGTTAGCATTCGTCATTCGGCCATAATCCGTAAATCGAAGCTTTCCTCTAATTAATTAACTCCTGATATAATTCAATTTGCTGCTACTCATCGTGAAACGACAAGAGACCCAATGTAGTCTTTCAAATTAAACCTTTTAATGGTAAAGATCATAATATTATTAGGTAGAAATACAATCTAATTCAGGAATCACTAGTAAGCTTAACTTTTTGTCCTTAAGCCTGGTTTCCATATGATCGTCCAGATCGTCTGAACATTTTTTGAGACGACTGGGACGATCGAGACGATCCGGACGATCATATGGAAACCAGGCATTAATTTACTGTTTAAAAGGAATGAAAATCAGTGGCAGTTGCGCTGGTTTGAATTAAACGGAGGACAGAGAATAGCTGCCAGATTACATGTTGGGTATGAAGGTTGGGAACACTAGTCCCAATGACATGACACTGGACTTTGCAGGTCACAAATGTAACTTGTTGTTAGGAGAAAATTCTGCAGGAGAGACAAAGATTTTCTTAAGAATTCTGCAATTTATTGTGTCACACTATTCTCATTCGTATAAAAGCAGCCGCGTGACGATTTAATCAACTAGATTACTGCGTGCTCCCTTGCCCTAGGCCTTTTTTACGCCCTAGCAAATAAATTCGCCGTCTTCTGGCAAGTCTACTCTACAACGGGCAAGCAACTTTTATTCCTCCGCAACACGGCCAGCGCCGCTGAAGCTCTTTCATGGCTCTCGTCCCTGTTTAACCAGACCCAGCTGATACGGTAGCTATTGCTTCGGCAGAACCTCAACCGGCATTAACACCATCCACCTAAGTATCATGTTTTAATTTATCGCTTCCCCCTTTTCTTGTCAATTTGTTACATACGTGGCGTTTATCTTTTTCACCATTCTGTTCTGGAGTTTGCTTACGTTAACGCCTTTAGGCGTTCTTTGCAACGTACCAGAGGTAAGGCGACCCTTATTTGATTATTGTCGCGTCTTTTGCGTCTGTTACAGTAGAACGAGAACGAGCCGGAACATATTTACGTTGGCGCTTCATGGCGTCTGTGAAACGTAAAGGAGAATCTCAACAGTGCAGTTCAGCGGAATGTATTTTTTACGTTGTCGCCCTTCGGCGTCTGTGAAACGTATAATGAGGAGAAAGACATTACGTTGACGCTTCTTAGCGTTTGTGAAACGTAAAGGAGGATCCCAGCAGCTCTACTCAGTGGCATGTTTTTAGTCAATTACGTTGGCGCCTTTTGGCGTCTGTGAAACGTACAATGAAGAGATAGACATTACGTTGACGCTTCTTGGCGTTTGTGAAACGTAAAGGAAGATCTCACCAGCGCAGTTCGGTGGCATGTTTTTAATTTCGTTGGTGCCCTTTAACGTCTGTGAAACGTACAATGACGAACAGACAACTTTTGGTTTTACTTCGCGACCGTCCATCGTACATTTGGTCTAGAATCTTTGATGCTTTATGGCATTTTACGTGTATGTATTGAAAGATTTTAAAATTAGGTGGCCAGTTGTTTATTTTTGCCGTTCGTTTCCTACTCTTTGTATTGTCAACACTTTGTATAATTTCCGCACATTGCATGGTCAGCATACTCCGTGCCCGCTCGCAGATGTTCCCTTGAGACGTCTCACTTTTTATATTGTCTTTATTCTTCCTGACCTTTTACACTTGTGACCTTAGAGGTCACAATAGCAGAAACAGAAGGTGGCGTAACTCCTAGATATCAGTTTCAGTAACCACGTTCTCTCTACTCTAGCGTATAGCCTGAATAAATTTCCACGAGTTTCCTTGTATATTATATTTTTCTTTGGCTTTTGCTTCCTATATTTCCTTACCCCACACTTGAGTCGTGCTCAGGGGGGGTTCCTAAACACACCCCTCTTCCAGTCTTCGGACTCAACTGTGGGGTTCCTCCCAGCCTCCCTCTTTCGCCGGGTTTTTCCTTCTTTTTATCTCCTCCCATTCGGATTTCTCTAACCGGGTTACACATGCTGGAAGTCACCCTTCAGCTTTCGTTTAGCGTAACTGGGAGGGAAAGCCCCACAGTTGGGCCGGGCCACTCCCCTCAATTGAATCCGTCACATCTGAGAGGCATTACGCCAACGCTACCCATCTCTCTAAGGGAGTTTTCTGGGTTTTTCTGAGTTTCGGGGAGATTTGGCTGTACTGCAACTTAATGAGGTATTCTGCAATAACTTACCGTCTTTTGGATGAGTCTATAGCACCCTTGGTCTCGGGCAAAATTTTTCACCCATAACTTTTTCATCAAAAGGCATAAGGTGGGTTTTATGATAATGTGAATTAGTTACTATTATCATTCGTATAAAAGCCGCCGCGTGACGATTTAATCAACTAGATTACTGCGTGCTCCCTTGGAAAGCAGTCTATTGGTCCTTTACGGTCCCCAGGGAAATTCCCTAGGCCTTTTATACGCCCTAGCAAACAAATTCGCCGTCTTCTCGCAAGTCTACTCTACAACGGGCAAGCAAGTTTCCCCACCCTCCTCCCCTTCAGCGGCGCTGGCAAATTTTCTCTATCAGCCCACCCTATGCCTTATGCAAAATTTTTCACCCTTAACTTTTCCATCAAAAGGCATAAGGTGGCTTTTATGCGAATGTGAATAAGTTACAAAGCAAATTGTCACATGCTGTGACCTGTCCCTGCAGACCTTTTGCAGTGACTTGTCACCTAGTGTGTCACACGCCTGCCAACTCTTTCACATTATGCAGGAGTCTAACGCCTGAGAACTAAAAACATTGATTTCGTGCATCAAGGGAAATTTGTCCTCGCCTGACTCACAAATCCAGAGAAGTTGATCTTTAACACACGATTAATAACAAAATTCAATTCACTTTCCCCATAAATATTCGAAAAAGACCGTTAAAGCTGACTTTATGTTGTAACTATATCACAGCACGTTAAAGATGCTGCCTTTTAATTTTTGCTCTGGAAATTCTAAAAGGTACGCGGAAAATCTTCGGACATTTTCGGCAACAAGTTGGAAGTCTTCGTAAAATCATCAGAAATTTTCAAAAGCCGCTGGGACGTTTTCGGAAAAATCTGATGCACTTGACTCGGAGAAAGGTGGCAGGTTACTTGTGTCCCAGCATTAAATCTTATTCAAAGAAAAGCTAAAACACAATCACTTTGCTTGGAATCAAACTCGGATCCTAATTGTCACCGTGAAACCCTTTTTACTGAAGAGTTCAAAGTATTGTATTTAAATTAAATGATGTCACATTCTGTAAATCAAAAGATGATAGACAAAACAGTTTTCACAAAATGTTTTTTTTTTTTGCAATTTCTTTCTCAATATAGTGATGTGATATGGCATTGTTCACCTTAGTCCATGACAAACGACCAAGTAAGGGCTATTTGCCCATTTGTGACTGGTCAACAGGATGAAATGCTATTTTAATTTAATAAGCTACCTTGGCCCGCGTAACAAATCACTATAGTAATAGTATTTGCCATTAATAAAAGATGTTTAAATGCACTAACACCACATGCTCTGGATTTCTTTTATTTTTGTACTCTAAAATTCATCTATATTGATCACATGATTTTAATTTTTGTATTGCTTTCTATGCTTATTATTTACAGATGATAAGAAGAACTGTCAAGACTTTTTTAACAAATTAAAACATGGAGTATTATTCCAGTTCAAAATTGAGAGCTTACTTGAAAAAAGAAGATGGATTAAAAGTTTTGGATCTGAAAGGAAAAAGACTCTCCAGGGTACCTGTTGCGGTCTCCGAACTGAGTGAAATAGAGAAACTTGTGCTGGAGGAAAATAACCTGAACAACTTGAACAACGTAAACAACCTGAACAATCTTATTGTGCTCAAATTGAATGGTAACAAACTAACATATCTACCAGCTGAGATCGGTGACCTCAGGGAGCTGAGGCAGTTGTGGGTGAGTAACAACCAGTTGGTTGGTTTACCTACCAGTATACAGAGGCTGACGAGGCTTGAAAGACTGAACTTGAGTGCAAATAATCTAACTGAATTACCTGCTGAGATTGGTAAACTAAGGGAGCTGAGGGAGCTGTATGTGAATTTCAACCAGCTAACTCAATTACCTTCCGAGATTGGTAACCTGAGGAAGTTGAGGGAGCTGTGGGTGAGGAACAACCAGTTGGTTGGATTACCTACCGGTATACAGAGGCTGACCAAGCTTGAAAAGCTGCACTTGGATGACAATAATCTAACTCAATTACCTTCTGAGATTGGTAACCTGAGGGAGTTGAGGGAGCTGTGGGTGAGGAACAACCAGCTGGTTGGATTACCTACCAGTGTACAGACGCTGACCAAGCTTGAAGAGCTGCACTTGTATAAGAATAATCTAACTGAGCTTCCTGCTGAGATTGGTAACCTGAGGGAGCTGAGGGTGATGAAGGTGAGGAACAACCAGTTGGTTGGATTACCTATCAGTATACAGAGGCTGAGCAAGCTTGAAAGGCTGAACTTGGATGAAAATGATCTAAGTGAATTACCCTCTGAGATTTGTAACCTGAGGGAGCTGAGGGGGCTGTGGGTGAGGAAAAACCAGTTGGTTGGTTTACCTACCAGTATACAGAGGCTCTCAAAGCTGGAAACGCTGGGCTTGGATGGAAATAAACTAACTGAACTACCTGCTGAGATTAGTAACTTCAGGGAGCTGAAGCAGCTGTGGGTGAGGAACATTCAGTTAGTTGGTTTACCTACCAGTATACAGAAGCTGTCCAAGCTTGAAGAGCTGGACTTGAATGGAAATAAACTGACAAACCTCCCTGCTGAGATTGGTGACCTGAGGGAGCTGAGAAAGATGTGGGTGAATGACAACCAATTGGTTGGTTTACCTTCCACTATACAGAGGCTGACCAAGCTGAAAGAGTTGTCCTTGGTTGCAAATAAACTAAAAGAACTGCCTGCTGAGGTTTGTGACCTGAGGGAGCTGACGCATCTGTATGTGGGAGGCAATCCTTTAAATGTTGATGCAATAAGATGTGCCCTGAAGTTGAAGAAGAAAGGAGTGTATGTAGCAATTGATATTGCAGGTGAGCTGAGTTATACAGTAGCATTCAGATTTTTCGAATCTCTCAAAGAAAAGAAAGTTGGTTCCACATATTAACATGTTCAAAAAAGCCAGGGTAAAACTGAACTATTTGCCAAGGGAAAGGAAGTCAGTTTTGTTTTCGATCACTTATCGGGAGTTTGGGGATGTAAGGGTTTGAGAATTCAGAATATGTTACAACCGTATAAGTTTCAGCCTTAATGATAAGTTCTCATCTACATATGTTATAATTTGCTTGTTGTTAAATTTTAGGTAATCAGTGAAAAATAACTTTTTTAACTGCAATTATAGGAAAAATCATTGAAACGTAAAAAAGTGAAAGTTAAATGACAGGATTTTGGGTAATTTCTAAGGTTAATGAACGCCCGACATTGTACCCCATCTTAAACAACATATTACATCAACAAGATCAACCTCAGTTTCACCTTTACCCTAATAAAAGGGAGTACCAATCAAATATAATTTTTACAACAACTGAATTATGTCTCGCATGCTGATTGGCTAATTTTTATTATCAATAAGAGGACAGACACGTACAATTTTAATTTATGCAAGACGCGGTCATTTGCCGAAGGAATGCCGAACTTCTTTGTTTTTTCTTAGTTTAGTTTCGTAGAAGATTCACTTTCTGTCCTCTGAGAAAAATAGCCAGATAGCTCTGATCATAGTTAATTAAAGTGGAATGGTTGGGAAACCCTTTGTTATAGGTTTTTCTTAGCTTTTTTGGGCCTCACAGAGCACAACGTTCAAGAGCATTCCTATCATTTTGAAGTTATTGACCAATAGAAACATTGTATTAATTTATTCAGTCATAATTTGTGAACAGAAAAAAAAAAGGACTGTGCACGGTCCGGGAGCTTCCAACATAGCCTACAGCACCATTGTTTTCAACTTTGATGTTTGCCGGGTTTCCTAAAGCTGGTTTTCATATGTCTGGAAAATCCCAGACGAAAAGCGAATTGACTGTTTCCCGACTGTCCCAGATTTTTGCCGACTAATAAAAACTCGAAACCGTAGATATCCCCGATCATATAGACGGGGACAAATCTGGAGAATCAGGAGCGTTTCTATTTTCCCGGCGCCTCCCAGATTTCTGCGATAGTCGGCGATCATTCCCGACAAATGACAACTCACATTTGTACCGTCGGGGACGTCGGCGATGGATCTCGCTCATTACCAATCCCCTAAATTGCTGGGCTCCAGTCCCTCTAACACAAATAAAGGTGACGTCTCTCGAGAATCTGGGCAGACTTCTGGCGATTATCCGATATATCGGCAAAATCTGGGATGGTCGGCAAAAAGTAAAATCGTCTGGGATTTTCCCGACATAATATGAAAACCAGGCTTAACTAGTCTCTTCTACTAACTATGCTCTGATGCAAGACTTGGCGCCCTGTTTGGATTCTCTAGCAGAGGAAACTAAACAAGACACTTAGTTTCCAAAAGCGGAGACGACGTGCTTTAAATTGTACAGTTTCAAAACTGCGATTTAGATATTAAGTGTTTAATATTCCTACATAGCTTTAAAGTTAAAAAAGTAAGAAAACAATTCTGAAAGTATAGTTTATTAAAAACAAAGAGATTGTTAACGGTAGTTTTCCTTGGCAAGTACTGAGTGTTTTTCTAATCCTTTTTTCCGAAAGCTAAACAAAATTTTTCTACAAACTTTATGAAACTTTGTAAGTACCTGGTGAGTTGAATTGAAAACTTCATGCCTTTAAAACCCACCTTTCGGTTTGATTGTACACAGCTCATATGGCTGAATGGCGTTCAGGACAACAAACAAGATAAGAACTGAAGTGATCAACTGGCCGTACGTACACGATTTCTGTTCGTACTGATTGGTCACCAGCTCCTCAAAACTACCAGGCTATAGTTTAATCTACAGACAGCTCAACTGTACATTGCTTCGACTTGTTCGGTTACTTCAACAGCTTCAAAATCTTTCCTTGAAATAATATTTAACCTTGGGCTAGTTAACCACTTTATACAGCCCTCAAATGCCTCCGTTTTTCAAGACAAAAAATAGCGCTGTTCTCATTCTTGTTTGAATTGCTAAACAATTTAAATTCCTAATTTATGCAGGGCAGTGGCGTGACTTAACCTGTCAAATTTTTGTCATCAGTAGCCAATCACCAAGCGAGAAAAGTTATTATTTCGGCGGAGCGCGAAGTAAAGGATTCGCAACGCTCAGGAATGTCCCAAAGTTGCTTTTTTTTAGACAAGATTGGGCACGCAAAGTCTGTAGGTTTTCGGTTTTATTCGGTCATTTGACAAAGTGAGAGCCAAATTAGTTCGAGATATCAAGAGATCACTTCGATTTCTTTGATTTATTCTTTAGCTTAGAATTATTAATTTGGCTTTCCCGGGATTTGAACCGACTCACCTGTGTGACCCGTCAGATCAGAGGAGACTCTAAGTTGAGGGATCAGCCGATTGCGCCACTGCGACCCAAGGTAGTTTGGGATATGAAAAATAGCAATGAAATTATGCACTAGTTTTGGGACAAGATTGGGCGCGCAAGTTCGTGACTTTTCGGCTTGTTTGGCTATTTCACGAAATGAGACCGCAATTACTTCGAGATATCTTGAGATCACTTCGAGTTTAGTCTTTAATTTACTCGAAGAATAAGTAGTGTTGAAAAAAATTTCACGAGTTAGCGCACCTTAAAAAATGCTGCAAGACGTTTTGTCTTTGTTGAGTGCTACGTAATAAAATTGCTGTCATGCGTTGGGCGACTTTCTCGAACGTTCTCTACGTTTTTGCATCATTCATGAATAATTAATTAGGGCATGTTGACATTTCAGCGCGAGTCAGCAGATTTGCGTCAGTTACTGAAATCATAAAATATGTCGAAAAGCTACTACTATTCGCCTGTTTAGTATTTCCTAGAACCTTATGTGAAACAGTATACAAGTTCCAAGCAAGTCGTTTTGACGAACTAAGTCTTTTCCCATGAGCTGCAGTGCTGTGTTTAGTCAAGTGTGATGAAGGTCGAATTTCAAGTTCTGTGCTTACAGGTTGGCGGAAGCCGTAAGATACCTGAAGTTCAAGTGCGAGTTTGTGATTATTGGCAGAGGCTGTTTAGTTTTACTTAAGTTCAAGTCAAGTTTGTGTAGGCGGATGCTGTGTTTTAAAGCTCTGTAAAGACTACGTTCCTTTGGTATTAAACTTCCTTGTGTTAATACGAAATCCGTGCGTGCTGATAGTCAGTGAATAATTATCCTCAAAACATTCGAACTCGTAACATTGGTTTTAGCCAATTCCATGCTCAACGTAATTGACTCCTTACCCATGCCTTACATATCTTTTATCAGTAGATAAGACGATTATGCTGTTTTTGAAGCCTGATGTAAGAAAAGTAGAGAATTCTTTTTTCACTGTTTGTTTTGTTAGACTTGTTACTGACCGCCAGTAACCTCATATTTGACCGGCCGTCGATAAAACCCGGAACGCGGAACATTCCAAAAACAAGAACAATTTCTTCTACTCGGATATGATATCGGTTTCTTTTTCTTTCTTCATTTGTTGTTTTTATGTTATTTTATGTTACTTTGTTTATTATTAATTTTTACAAATATTATTTTATTATTTTTATTCTATTTACTTTTTTTTAATGAAAATTATTTTTATTTTTCGCATGCTACGGAATGTTCCGTGTTCCTGGTTTAATCGACGCCGTATAAATAGACTTGGGTCTAAACGTTTAGACCCAAGTCAAATTTAGAAGGATTTGTATGGAGTCATCAGAGCATACCTGGGCTAATATCTCAGATACAATTTGCCCCGAAATGCTAGTTTTTGGCAAGTATGCCTCTTGGATGTTGCTCTTTTCAGAATATCCTGACAAATCCCATAATTTCACAAATTGACACCTTACTCTTACCATGTATCATTTCTTACTATTCCTCCACATTTACAGTTAATCAGGTCCACAACCACGACGCCAAAGTGTACGCTCCATAGCGTCTTGTTGACAATAGCATTGCGCTAGTGTAAAAAAGTCATAAATTTTCTTTTGTTTTCTTCATTTTTACCGGCAATATTTGACTATCTTGAGCTTTTGTTATTGTAAAAAATGGTAGTGTTAAACAATGTTATGATGTCATTTTATCATCAACAAGAGGACAGATGATAAAAAACTGGCGTCAATTTGTTAAATTCCCACAACTATAGAATGGTGTGTTAGTATGTGTAATCAAATGGTGACGAGTGAAATTAGGGAATAATTTCACGCGCGTTTTGTCCAAATCCTAATAATACTAATAATAATACTAAAGGCTCGGGAAATTATTAGGATTTGGACAAAACGCAAGTGAAATTATTCCCTAATTTCACGAGTATACCATTTGATTACCTATTAATACCATGGGTGACGAATTACGTTAGCAATCTTGGATTTTTAATATGTCTATCCTGGATCGTATCGATTGAGAATTTTTCAGACTTTTTCGGCAAAATACCTGTTAGAATCCTTCTTGATGTTCTCTTGTGTGTTCGGGTTTTCTAAAGCGTCTTTTTGTGCCCTGACATCTTCATTCACTTCGTCGCCATCTTGACACTAAGACGTACGGAGGGTTGCCATGGCAATTTTGTAATTTCACATGTGAAATTACAAATTAACGCTGAAATTTCGCGCCAAAATTAAGGAGTAATTCGTCACCTATGATATTGTATCTGTAACACTGGAAATTCTGGTTACAACAGAGTATTGAAACCATAGTGAAAAATAAGAAGTAAAGATGAATGATTATCATATCATTGGTGTGGGGCAAAGCCTGGTCTCAGAAAAAAATTAACCCCTCCCCCATGGCCTCTAAAGGTCAGTCGTGAGATGTAACTACACATGTCATAAGTACTGCTCTGATCGGCAATGTTGGACTGGAAACTAAACCGCTATAACGACATTAATTATCTTTATTTAGTCGTCGTTTTTTTTTCCACCAGTTCCTTCAGAAATAGAAGCACTCGGAGAAAGAGCACAGCTTGCTTATCAAAGTGCTCTTAAAGATGGAGCTGTCAATGTTTACCGTGGTCGAGTGTTTCTTATTGGCCAGGATCGGGCAGGGAAAACAAGTTTAAAGAAGTCTCTCATTGGTCTACCATTTAATCTAAAAGAAAAAAGTACTGAAGGAATTGAAGTGGATCCTTCAAAATTTCAATTGGATGTAGATGCAGCTAAGAATTGGCAACCCATCCCAGATGAGAATAAACAAGGGTTTTTGGGATGTTCGAACAATGTGGCACAGATGGTGGTGAAAAGACTTTGTAATATTCCAGGTAACGATAACTGGGCTCCGGAGGAGAAAGAACCGAAGGAAAAAGCCACCAGGGACCTTCAAAATGATGATAACAAAAATAAGGAACAGTTTGGTACTGATGAAGAACGGGAGAAGGATTTTTTTGTGAACCAGGTTTGTCAGGCTTATTTGCTCAAATACCATCCGTTTTTAAAACTCACTACATATCTTCATTTTACAAAACAGGCCGACACAACCACAATCGGAAACAAAATTACTTGAGACACTTCACCCTAAAGGGACTTTCTGACGTTTTACTGACTTCAAAACGGGGAAAAAACGATTTTCCTCCCCCATCGGCCCTCCATGCAGTGTTATGCCGCTGTTCTAGCTACCTGTAGATGGGGTGTGGATTCTTTTGTTCTCTGAAGTTACCCTATTTGAGTACAATACTTAGCTTCACACTAGAAGCTAAATAAATCTCAAGTAAGCTCTTAATGCATGTGCACTTGAAAATCTTAAAGTCTCTCTGTAGAAAACATGGCTTCACACTTGTTGACAAAGAATATTACTTGAAGTACAAGCTGTCTATTATTTTTCGCGGTGAAATCGTTTATGCATATCACAACGTGATTGCTCGTGACAAAAACTAAAACTATGAGGCCTTTGCGTTGGAAAATAGCTTTTTGTAGTTTCTTCTTTATTTTTTCATCATTTTAACTCAGAGGGTTTTAACCCTAAAAGAGATGCTTAAGTGCTTCGTTTTTTTTTACGAGTAGTTTATAGGAGCGGCGGAAAAACAAAACAAAAAACAAAATCTTCTTCAGTATTTTACTAGAATGGCTGAACAACGCGCTTTTTGGCAAAGAAATCGCCTTAGAGCTTGGGCTCGGCCTCTCCTGCGATGCTCTCAGCTAACCGAGACATGGATGTTTATGTCTGTTCATTATAATCTCGGGACTGCTGCACGTACACGTCATGCACATCGCTTTCAGATATCTTCCATTTGTTATTGGTCAAGTGTTTTCTCAAGTGTGGTGTCGACCATACTTGGCAGCGAACTTCGACTTCTCTGAACTACGAACGTTTCCGTGGTCACCAAGTGAAGTTGAAGTAGGTACATTTCACTGACCCCTTCACACTCAAAGTAGTTTCCAGTACACCGAGATTATACCGTATTTCCTCAAATAATAGCCGTCCCTCGATTAATTGCCTCCCTTGGACGGAAATATTTGAAATAATCGCCTCCCCTCCGCTCCTTTCGCCATCTTATCTTCCTTTTATCCCCTCCCTGTCCAAGAGTAAGTGCAAGGTGATCCAGCAAATCTGATCATTGAACTAATAAAATTTGGAACACTTAAAAAGCCCATGTTCAGTTAATTTGATGTGATTATTTTTTGATTTAATGGCATAATAAAAGAAAATATTTAGGCATGAGTTCCAGTGAGGAATATTTGAAATAATTGCCATTCCTCGAATAATCGCCCCCGGCTATTATTCGAGGAAATACGGTCCTTGAGAGCTCCGGTTAGTGTGAAACCAACCAATGTCGCAACAATTTTGGCACCGATTGTCTGAATCGCAAGTGACCATACATCCTAACGAAAACTTATTCGACTCATTTCTTTATTTGTTTTGATTGACGTCATCATGCCTACTACAGAACATCATTGGAATGTGGTGATTTCGTTATTTTCAGTGCGTGACATTTCGTGTCACGCTTAACATGCCTTGGCATCGTGCGATGTAGCGCCTCACGATTTCTTATTCTTTCCTTTATCGAAACAAGGAAAAAAGTGAATAGGACAGAAAATGAAATAGTTTTCTAGGCAACATAGCAGTCATAATTGCTGAAAATTGCTGTTTAGTAGAAATGTCCACGGGTAAACCAAGTTGAGTATAATATGAAATAATTAAATTATCTTTTAGAACTAAAAGAAAAAAAAACTAAAAATACTGCGAGTGAAGCATTGCATTTCAATTAATTTGAATCAGTTGCAGTCTATTTCTATTGTTGATGTTTGACTGTTAAGTAACTGTGTATGTAACGCAACACGACGCGAAGGCGATGAATAAAAACCGAAATTCGAACCAAGATAAGTGTTTGTATCAAGCCACATTGTATAAAAGTCCGTGAGAATAAATCAGCTTATTACAACACTTACGCATTCAATAAATACAACAAAGCCTGGCTGAATACAAATTTAGCCAAAACGCCGACTTTATTTACCGTCACGGGTTCCAGGAATTGCTTGAAATATTCTGAGAAACGTATTGCTTCAATTCAAAGGATTTTTTACCTTCACTTGCCTTAATTCACACTCTTCGCTTGCAAAAACGTGGCTTTCTGTACGAAACAGGATATCTCCCGGGCTTTAAGTTTTCTTCGTGTGTTCTTTAGCTTCAAAATAGCCTCGATCTCGAGGGACAAACTTGAAATCGAGGCAAATACGGTGATATACATACATCCAAAAGTCTCAAATGAGGCTGGCTTCGGGCACAGGCAACACAGGCTAGTCACGTACGCGAGCTAAATTAGTCTGGTGCGAAGCCTGGTGACCTTGCAGCAACAAAGTTGGTTACTTGTGGTTACTCGTGGCTAGTCTCCTCCTAACTTCATAGTTCTACTGTAAAGTACATTCTTCCAAGACTCTCATAAGTATATGGGCAAATAATCTACTGCAAAGATGTAGCGATGCTATGCAGCTTTGCTTTGTGTAAGAAGTCGGAGCATTTTCTTGTCTAGTGCGAAAAACGTAGACACTCTGTGAGAGCGTAGAAAATTCGTATAAATACTTCATATAATCTGAACTAATGACGTAACAGCTATAATAATCCTATAAGCTATACATTATTTTACTACTTACGTGAAGGGGGACCAAAGCGTTAGCACAAATATGTTTGGAATGTGCAACCATTTGAGCACGTTCGGAATGTGCAACCATGTCGATATTCTTGACGAGTTTTGTCGGGATATTCGGTCAAAATTGGGTTCGATAGAAAAACGTAAGGAGTAATCGGAACCAATTCAAATCAAGGATAAAAGATCACGACGAATGTCAGTGTTTTCGGCTAGGTTTTGACGCAGCAAGCACTGAGCGAACAGAGCCTCGAGTAAGAAGAAAATTCAGTGAGAGACTGAAGTTTGTTATTATTGCTCGATTCCCTTGGCCTTTGTATGTTGTTGTTTTCTACTTCCTTTTCTTGATTTCATAAACCTGTCAGCAGTACGCATCGATTTTACGAAGTACATTTCAACCTATACAAAACAACAAACACCTCAACTTTGAATAGAGGGGACAGGGGAGGGGTGTGGATTCTCTTGTTCTCTGAAGTTACCCTCTTGAGTACAAATGTCTCAACAATTTTGTCGCCGATTGCGGGTTCTGATGTATGTCAAGACCTGGAAAAATGTAGTTCATGTTGAAAAAGGTGATAAATTTTTTAAACCAAAACTTCCATCGCTGATTTGACTTAAACATTTTTGTGGACCTGAAAGCCATGAAAGCTTTATAGGTCCTTTCAACTGACTAGCTGTAACTGTATAAACTATTAACACTTAAATTTTATGGTAGTTCGAATTACGGAGATGATGCAATTGGTGTCGTTAGAGAAAGTCATTAGACCGCACACGCCATTAGTTTTTTTTCCATTTCATCCTTATACCGTGGAACCTCTATTCAAGGGACACAAGATATGTTTGGTAACGGAAAAATATTCACGTAATCTTTGTACAATCCGTTACTACGGATAACACCCTCCTCGATCTGCTTAATTCTTCATATCCTACGAAAGCCGAATCATAAATCGCTTTTCATCGGTACTTAATATATAGGTGAGCTATTAAGGGGATATTTGCCTTAGTCTCTGGTTCCACTCTAATAGGTAGAGATTTCAACATTCTCATAGAAATCGTAATGCTCTTTGTCAGTCACCTCCAAGTTAATTTCTGACTAATTTTCTCGTCTTAATGTTTTGGAAACCTTTTTGGTTAAAAAAGATTACCCCATGCCTCCAGTGATCATGCCTCAATGTTAATATTAAATTATTTCTACGAAGTGAGGTGTTGAGGCCAATCCTCAACAAGAGAACAATTTTGTTTTCCTAAGTCCGTTCCATTCCATTTTTGTAATTCATACTCCCAGCATGCTCAGTGAGCGCGTCTCAGTGTCGTCGTGTAGCGAGAAAGAAACCATGTGCTTTGTAACGCGCTAGTCGCCGGGAGTTTCTCATCGTATGGTGAGTCTTAGGAGATCGTGTATTTCCAAATCCCGTTCCAACAGTGATTAAGTGTTTGTTTTGGCTTAACTGCAGAATACCCTGCCACTTATTTGCATGTCATTGAATAAGAATAGCATCTATTGTGTTATGCTTCGTTCTTCAAAGAACGCCGACCAACGAAAACAATGGTGGTACAGAGTGGCAGGGTATTCAGCAGTTGCTCCTTTGTTTTGTAGGTTTTTACTTGCGAGGTGAAGCTTATTAGCCAAAGATGAGACTCCAATTCCGATCCTGTTGTGTTGTTAAGAAAATATGCTGAGTGTGCAACTCTCGATTATTAAACTTGTGTTCAAGAACCCTTGTGTTGTGAAGGCGCGTTTTGTCCCCTGGACATCTTCGTAAAAACCATACGAGCATCTTGCCTGTGATTAGTGGACGTCCAAAGTCTTAACTGTGAAAATATTTGTACGTGTGAATCGAAGTGACATCAAAGGTCATGACTCAACGAGGAATCCTACTCGTGCGTTTGGAGGTGTTGGACAGATCCCGAAGGGGATATTTGTCTAATATTACGAAACTGTGTCATCAACTGGATGAAAATCTCGGAGACTTCGGCAACGTCGTCAAGATACGAACCGTACAAACTAGCCTTAATTCCGCGTGGGAGCAGTATTGTGTTTGTGTTGAGAAATACCGTGATTTACTCGATACCAGCTCTGAAAGGTATCAAAGAGTCTTGAGCGACCGTGCGGTTCAGCAGTCAAGAATACAAGAATACAATGAGAGAATAGATCAGTTTATTGCCAGTGCCGCTGCCTTTTATAACAGTCAAGTGCTAGAAGAAGTAAAATCAATCAAGGAGTGTACCCCTCCAGAATCTGTGAAATCTAATGGTAGTCAGGTCTCAAATCAAGTGTGTGTAGCTCCAGGTCCCAAAGGGCTAAAATAGAAGCAGCGAAGGCCCTTATTTGCAAGAAAGAAGTAAGAAGCAAGTAGAACTGGAGGTAAAAAGAGTCGAAATGGAAATAAAACGAACGGAATTAGAATTGCAACACCGATTAGAACTCACCAAATTGCAAGCAGAAAGGGAAGTTACAGCTGCAAGAAATCAAGTAGAACTAGCCAATTTAGAGGCTTCCCTTGCAGAACAGGAAATATCTGATCCAGTCACTGGCCTGGAGGGTATCAGATGGTCTCCAAATCTTGACCTAAAGGACTCAAAGTCTCAATCCTTAAGGGTGCCACCCGAAACTCTAACATCTGTTATTAGTGCCAATAATGTACCAGTGACCAAGCCATCTCATACATCAACACCAGGATTAGTAAATGCCCAGACTTCCAATACACTCACTTCTGGAAACACTTATTTCAAGGTGCCAAGTGTAAGTTTTAGAACCCCTACTGTTACGGATGAGGGTACACTTGAGACTGTTAAACCCCGTATTCAAGACAACGGCCAGTCACAACCTGCTGACCCACCCACTGAAGAAACCCCATGCCTGACGAGCACCAACCGCTGTACAGCCACACCCAGTGCTGCTGGTTCAATTGTGAATGAAAGTCTTGTCACTATCATGTCTTCAATGGAGAAAATGAGTGCCGCCTATGATCTACCACATGTACAAGTTCAGAAGTTTGATGGATCCCCTAAAAATTACCCAGCCTTTCGTCAGAGATTTAAGCAGTTGGTTGAAACCAGGCCTCTTAGTGATGCTGTGAAAATGACCCATCTATTACAGTTCTTGAACGGTCCTGCCCTGACCGCAGTGCAGAGATATGAGCCAATGCCTGGTGGCCTGGCAAAGGCACTCAAGACACTAGAGGAACGTTTTGGTCAGCCATTTCAAGTAGTGAGAGCATGTGTGGAATCACTTACGAAGGGACCTGCTATACAAGCAAATGATAAGGACAGCCTGCAGCGCTATGCTGATACTGCGCAAGTTACCTATGATACCTTAGAGTCAATGGGATACCTTAGTGAGATGAATATAGATAATCTGGAGAAAGTCATCGCGCGGCTGCCAAAGTGGATGCAATCCAAATTTGCCGAACATTTGAAGAATTTCGAGCGTAAGGGAGAGAAGATGCCAAATTTAAAGGATTTTGTAGATTTCCTCAAGGAGAGAGCGTTTGTCCTGAGCCACCCTTTCTTTACTAAGTCAGCAACTCCTAAGGGTTTTACCTATTCTTTAACAGCAACAAACCCTGAATCCTGTGCCATGTGCCATCAACACCATCCACTGTACCGTTGTGAAGTATTCAAATCCAAGTCTCCGAGGGAGAGAAATGACTTTGTAAAACAGAAGATTTGCTTCAATTGTATCAACTCAAGTAAACACAACTCAGAGAAGTGCAAGTCCTTAATCAGGTGCAAGGTAGAAGGTTGAGGGAAGTCACATCACACATTGTTACACTTCACTGAACCTAAAGACAGAGGGAACCAGCAAAGAGACGGTCCTAACGGTGAGGACGTTAATCAAGGCTTAAGGCCTAATCAAGCCACTATTTCTATGTGCTCCACAGTGGCCGCAGTTAGTTCGTGTGAAGTGTTGCTTCAAGTCATCCCAGTTAGAGTGATTAGTAAGTCTGGTAACCAGATTACTACCTTTGGCCTACTAGACTCAGGCTCCGACATAACCATGATTGACCCGTCTCTCGTGAAACTGCTGAAAATTAAGGGCTCACCAAGTAAGCTGTCACTCACGACAGTAAACAATGCCGATACAGAAGAAGAGGGTCTGAGAGTTGACTTCCAAATTGCTTCAGTAGACAGCGAGAATGACCATCTGATTGATGTCAAATCTGCCTGGGCTGTAAAGGATCTTACAATTCCCCTAAAGCACACAAAGGTGACAAGGTCTGTTGGACAGTGGCCACATCTGCAGCAAGTGTGCTTCCCGGAAGTAGAGAGAAGTAAGATTTCTATCCTGCTAGGTACAAACATCCAAGAGGTCTTCATACCGCTTGAAGTTAAAAGAGGTAAACCAAATGAGCCAATCGCAATCAAGTCCTGTATTGGTTGGAGTATACTTGTTGGCTGTCCCAGTGTACCTTCTTCCACTCCTGTGCAAGTCAATCTCATTAATGGGGAGGATGTTACCCTAAGTGACCAGCTTGAAGAATTCTGGAGAGTCGAGTCCTATGGTACGAGCAAGTGTGAAACCAAGCCCCTGTCTGTGGAGGACCAAAGAGCCATGAACTTGATATCCAATTTAATCTGTAAACGTGATGGCTATTATGAGATGGGCCTCCTGTGGAAACGTGACAATCCTGTGCTTCCTTACAACAGAACACTAGCTGAAGCGAGACTGCAGCACTTAAAGAGACGCTTCCTTCGAGATCCAGAACTTGAAGTCAAATATAGAGCTGTGATTGAAGACTGTGTGACCAAGGGATATGCAAGAAAGCTCACGAAGGAGGAAGCAGCAACAGTCAGCCAAACCACATGGTTCCTGCCTCACCACCCAGTAAGCAATCCGAACAAGCCAGGCAAGGTGAGAGTGATGTTTGACGCGGCTGCAAGATTCAGCGGCACATCCCTAAACGAACAGCTCCTACAAGGACCTAGTCTGACAAATGACCTGTCTGGAGTGTTGATTCGTTTCCGTGAAGAAGAAATTGCCTTCTCAGCAGATATCGAGGGCATATTTTACCAGACCAGAGTAACCCCAAGTGATACAGATTCTCTGAGGTTCTTGTGGTGGCCTAAAGGTATTGACGAGCCTCCAGAAGAATACAAAATGTTGGTCCATATTTCTGGTGCTAAGTCTTCACCCTGCTGTGCCAACAAGGCGTTAAGCACGACAGCACAAGACAATGAAGAAAATTACCCACCTGAAGTGATCAGAACAGTTCGTAGAAATTTCTATGTGGACGATGTCCTGAAGTCCGTCCCAAATACTGACCAAGCCATACCTCTGGCCTCAGATCTTATGAAGTTGTTGAGAGAAGGAGGATTCCGCCTAACAAAGTTTGCGAGCAATAGTCGTGAATTACTAGCCTCAATTCCTCCCGCGTCCAGGGCGAATCCCAAGTTGGACCTAGATCTAGACCAGTTACCCTTAGAGCGAGCGTTGGGTGTCTACTGGGACGCACAGTCAGATACTTTTAAGTTCAAGGCCTTACAGGCGTACAAGCCATCCACCAAGCGAGGAGTACTTTCCGTCGTAAACTCCCTATTTGATCCGTTGGGATTTCTTTCACCATTTGTGTTCACAGCCAAGATTCTGTTACAAGAGCTGTGGAGGCAGAAGTTGCCTTGGGATAAAGAAATTCCAGAGCCGTATTCGTCCCTCTGGCAGAAGTGGTTGCAAGAGCTGCCGTGTGTTACTACAATCGAGATACCAAGGTGTTACAAGACCCAGTGCCTTAGTACACAAGCCACTGTGCAGTTGCACAACTTTTCCGATGCGTCAAGGCATGGTTATGCAGCAGTGTCTTACCTACGGTTCGTTGATGAACAAGGAGTGATCCACTGTTCCTTCGTTATGGGGAAGACCAGGAATGCGCCCATTAAAGAGCGGACTATACCTCGCCTAGAACTGCAAGCGACAGTGTTAGCGGTACGGCTAAGTAACTCAATTCTGACGGAGCTTGACCTGCAAGTAGATGAAACCTTTTTCTGGTCTGACTAAATGACGTCCCTGCAATATATCAAGAACCAAACTAGGCGCTTCCAAACCTTTGTTGCGAATCGCGTGGCCGAGATTGATGAATCAACCTCCCCAGAACAGTGGCATCATGTCCCAGGTAGTATGAACCCCGCTGATGAGGGTTCACGAGGCGTCACCATAGAGCATTTCCAACCCGGGTGTCGGTGGTGGTCAGGTCCTTGCTTTCTGTGGCAGCCTGAACAACATAGGCCTAATGCTCAGATGGAAGACATTCGAAGTGATGATAAAGAAATACGAAAACCAGCCATAATCATGTTCACCACTGACACGTCCCAAGTTGATCTCCTACTACAGCGCTATTCGTCGTGAGCCCGTTTGTTGAGAGTGATGTCGTGGGTGCTTCGCTTTGTCAAGCCACTAAAGAAGGAAAAACCTGAATGTGTCGTCGGACGTACACTTACCCTTGTTGAGCTTCAGGGATCAAGCGAAGTAATTACGCGACTGGTGCAGCGCCAACATTTCCGTGAAGAGTACATGGCTTTGAAAGAAGGCAGACAGGCGAAATGTACCATTATACTTGTTGGAGGAAGAATTCACCGTGCGCCGATTACCTTTGAGGCCGCCCACCCAGTGATTCTTCCAAAGTCAAGCCCTGTGTCTGTATTGATAGTTCGTTACTACCACCATGTGCTGGGCCACGCAGGCCGTGAACATGTGTTGTCCGTCCTCCGCCAACGTTACTGGATACTGAGAGGAAGAGCTTTGGTGCGTCAGATCCTGAGCAAGTGTATAAGTTGCCGCAAGCGGAACATGCCTGCCTTACAGCAAGCGATGGCGGACCTGCCAAAGGAAACGCTGGTACCTTATCATCCCCCGTTCACCTTTACGGGCCTCGACTTCTTTGGCCCCTTCTATTTTGTAGCAATTTCTCGTGTAGTGAACAACAATCGTGGTTTTCTTCAGCTGTTAGCTGCTTGGGACAAGCATTGGATTCAACAGCTATGAACAACAGCTCTGAACCCAACCCAGCCACTACAGACTCGCTGATAAAGAAACTAAGCTACAATTCAAAGAAGTCCACATTTACGTGGCGAGGTTCCTTCGATGAGTTGAAAATCTTTTGCTTCGAACTTTTAGATATAGATTCCACCACGTGCTCGATAACTCAAAACGAGCAAAGAAAATCGATAAAAGCAAAATCCTTGACAGTGAATTATTACAAGACTGGGACGTTACAACTTCAAGGAAACAACGTTCAATCAGCAAAGGATAAACTTCGAGCAGCTATGGACGGTGGTAAAACCAATTGTGACCTGAACGATGAAAGCGAAGATGTTGTTAGCGACCGCCATGTTGTTGTGGACGACGACAAATCACAAGTGGACACTCCTGAACTCTCAGAGACATCCAGCAACGAAACGGACCACTTTATTAAACCTATCTCCCCTCACTCTCTTGACGTAAATATTCTGAGTCTAATTAACGACCTAAGGACTGAGGTAACCAAACTTTGGAGCTGTGTGCAATCGACGCAATATGCAAATAACTCGAAGACTTTGCAAGAACTTGATGCTGTCAAGAACGAGAACCACACCTTACAACAAGAATTACAAGCCGCTAGAGTTCACTACACCGAGCTACAGAAAGAATTAAAAGCTATTCGAGAAGAAAGAGATTCATTGAAACTAGCGCTTCAAATAGTCTCCAAAGATTTGTACCACAATTCATTTGCCATGCAACCTGATAACTCCCGCGTTGACACGGAGTACCAGGATACTCAAGATTTTGTTTTGGTGGGAAAAAAGAAGAAGACCGGTGACCAACAAAACCAGCCTTCGACAGAGACAAACCAAGACGGGAGACATTCACAATCGAAGACGTCGTCATCATGCCAATTAAATACAGAGCGAACAAAAGGGAACTCAGGTGGTGGCCGAAGTACTCAACGCAAGCAAAGAGAGGTGTTCGTTGTTGGTGATTCCATCCTAAAGAACCTGCAAGGAAGGAAAATGTCAAGGAGTGCTAAGGTCAAGATTTCCTCTTTTCCGGGATGTTCGACTCAGGACATGAGAGATCACATTAGACCTATTTTACGGAAAAACCCAGACGAAATTGTACTTCACGTTGGTACCAATAGTCTTCGCTCATCCACATCCGCGCGCGAATGTGCTGAGGAGATCGTTAATTTAGCCCACATGATAAGCGACGAATCTTCGGCTAAATTGTCGATTTCTAGCCTTGTGTCTAGAGCAGACGAGGAGGCCCTTGGTGTCAAAGTCTCTGGTGTAAACAAGATACTAAGGAAATTTTGTAATCAAAATGACTGGGGCTATGTTGACCATTCCAACATCTCCGCCGACCACGACTTAAATAGAAGCGGTCTCCACTTGAATGCAAAAGGAACTGCTCGATTGGCTTCTAACTTTGTTAAATTTTTAAAATGAAGAGGAGATTAGAATACTGTCGAGCGGGAGTCCGACGAGGACATGCTTTCAGGGAGTCCTGCAAGTACACTTTTAGTAAGGGTAAGCCATCAAAATTTTTAAATTCATTCGGTCGTGGTTTTGTCATGGCATCGCTTAACATAAACAGTTTACTCGCTCATATTGACGACCTTAGGATATTTGTGACTGATTCTAAAATTGATATACTTGCAATCAATGAGACAAAGCTAGACAGTTCCATTGGTGACTCCGAAATATCTCTACCAGGATTCGAAGTCGTTAGGAGGGATCGTCCGGTGAATGGGAGATGCGGTGGCGGTGTTTGTATATATTTACGAAATAACATAAATTATCATATACGGCATGACTTAAGTGATAACCAACTCGAATGCCTTGTTATCGAAATTACTAGGCCGCATTCTAGACCCTTTTTAGTAAGCACGTGGTACCGACCTCCAAGTTCCTCCCAGGACATTTTTAGTCGATTTGAAATCCTGGTGGATAAAATTGACTCGGAAAACAACGATTTCTACCTGCTGGGAGATCTGAACTGTGATATGTTGCACAATCGGTCAAACTACCACATTTCGTCCAATTTAACGAATATATTTGATATTTACGGATTGAGCCAAATGATCTCTGAACCAACCAGGATTACATCAACATCACGCACATTAATTGACCTTTGTATAACTAATTCTCCCGAAAAAATTGTTAACTCTGGTGTCGTTCATCTTGGGATTAGCGATCACTCACTGGTTTTTATGACTATAAAAATACGTTATGAACGTGTTGGCACGCACCGTACTATCGAAACTCGTGATTACAAAAAAATTGACAGCGACAAATTTTTAAATGACCTTGTTCAACAGCCATGGGATTTAATTAGCTTAGAACCAAATCCAACTGCTATGTGGGATGCGTGGAAAACCCTGTTTATGGAAATTGTCGATAAACATGCCCCACTGAAAACAAAGCGGATCTCAAAAAAACATTCTCCGTGGATTACATATGACCTGATGCGTAAAATCTATAAACGAAATTATTTGAAAAAGAAAGCTATTATTGAAAACAATGCGGCTAGTTGGGAACAATACAAGCAAGCGCGGAATGAAACTAACAATGCTATCAAATCAGCCAAACGTCAGTATTTTTTGCACAACTTAGAGTTGAATAAAAAGAATTCGTCCAAAACTTGGAAGCTAATTAACGAACTGAGCTCGCGTAAATCTTGCACAAACCGCAATATCACTGAAATTAAAACAGATAACGAAACTATAAATTCTGCGCCTGAAATTGCAGAAGCTTTTAATAACTTTTTCACCTCTATTGGACCAAATCTAGCCAGTAAATTATCACCTTCTAATATCGACCCTGAAAGTTATTTACAACCCACTAAAACAGCCTTCTCCTTAAGGGCTCTTAGTGTCACAACTGTGTGTGAACTACTAAGTGAGCTTGACGAAAAGAAAGCCATGGGATTGGACGGAGTTCCTTGTAAACTTCTGAAATTAGCCAGTTCCATTATTGGACCATCATTAACGAAAATTTTTAATAGCTGTATAGAAACAGAAACCTTTCCAGATGAATGGAAAATCGCCAAGGTGACTCCTATCTTTAAAAAGGATCAAAATCTGACCTGAATAACTATAGACCAATTTCTGTATTGCCAATTGTCTCAAAGCTATTCGAGAAAATTATCTATCAACAACTCTATGATTACCTAGATAAAAACAAACATTTGAATACTTATCAATCCGGCTTTCGATCGCTCCATAGCACCATGACGGCGCTACTTGAATCAACGAACAACTGGTCTATTAACATAGATAACGGCCTTTTTAAATGGTGTGGTATATATCGACCTTAAAAAGGCTTTTGACACCATTGACCATGCAATTTTGTTACATAAACTTGCAAACTATGGACTTGATCTGGGTTCCCTACGATTCTTTGCCTCCTACCTAGGTAACAGGAGCCAGAAATGTTATGTTAATGGCGTATTGTCCAGTGCAAGCGAACTAAGATGCGGAGTCCCACAGGGTAGTATTCTCGGTCCTTTGTTCTTCTTAATCTATATAAACGATCTTCCAAACTGCCTTAATTCAGCATGCGCTAAAATGTTCGCAGATGATACAACTATTACCATTTCTGGTTCCTCTCTAGCTGACCTTGAACAAGAGACTAACTTAGAACTACTGAACCTTCACTGTTGGCTAAAAGCCAATAAGCTTAGTCTTAATGTTGCGAAAACCGAGTTTATGGTTATTGGCTCTCGCCAGAAGCTTCTCGCGGAAAGCCATAACGAAATAAACATCAAACTAGAAGACCAAGTTATCAGCAATGTTGATCACGCAAAATCATTAGGTCTCATTATTGACAATCGGCTTTCCTGGTCTAATCATGTTAACGAATTGTGTAAGAAGGTAACTTCGGCTATTGGTGCCCTTAGACGTATTAGGCCCCTTATCTCCCAATCTACTGCGGTACTAGTCTATAACTCCTTAATTCAACCTCACTTTGATTACTGTAGCCTTGTTTGGGATGGCTTAAGTGATCAACTGAGTGATAAATTACAAAAGTTACAGAACCGTGCAGCTAGAGTAATTTTAAAGGCCAACTATGGGACTAGCTCGAGCCTGCTTCTTGATATACTCAAATGGGACAAATTAGTTATAAGGAGAAAGAAGCATAAAGCAATAATGATGTTTAAATCTCTAAATGAACAAGCTCCAGTGTACTTGCAGAACCTATTTCACGAACGAAGCACAGACTATGATTTGCGCAATTCCTTTCATAAATTGACGTTGCCCAGGCCGCGTACTAACTACTTGAAACGAAGTTTCAGTTACAGCGGTGCTTTGTTGTGGAACTCTTTACCCGAAAATGTGAGAGAAACTAAATCAGTCAGGAAATTTAAAGAGCAAATCAAACATGTATTTGAGTCGTCGGACTCTCACTCGGCAGTCTTGTAAAACAGTATGTCGATAGTTTTTAGTCTAATTAATTGTGATTAGATTTTTACTCTATTATTACTGAAGATTTTACCGAGTTTTAAATAAAAAATCTACCTACCTACCTACCTACCTATGTGAAGCGCGCTCGTAGCGTTATCAAAGTGTATGGGTGCATATTCGTGTGCTTTAACAGCCGGGCAGTCCACATCGAAGATGTTAGTTCCTTAGAAACAGATACGTTTATTTTGGCTCTCCGCTGGTTCATCTCTGTTCGCGGCTGCCCTAAGGAAATCTGGTCAGATAATGGCACGAATTTTACTGGCGCTGAGAGGGTACTTCGGCGTTCGGTTCGAAAACTGAATGAAGAACAAATCAAGAGAGAGCTACATTCGTACGATTCGGATTGGTTCAAATATGTGTTGCCAAGGTGGCGTTTCCAACCCCCTACCGCGAGCCACATGTCAGGCGTGTGGAAGAGGCTTATTAGAAGTGTGCGGAAGGCTATGAATGCTGTCTTGAGCAAACCAGGCGCTACAATCCCTTTGGAAACCCTGCGCACCGTATTCGCCGAAGTCACGTCCATTCTAAACAGTCGTCCCATTTCCCCAGCAAGTGATGATCCAAGTGACATGGAGCCACTCACTCCAAACCACCTACTTCTACAGCCGCGAAATCTCGCCATACCCCCAGGTGTCTTCGCCAAGGAAGAGCTCTACTCACGCAAGCAGTGGAGACATGCGCAATTCCTTGCTAACTGTTTTTGGTCGCGATGGGTTCTAGAGTACGTGCCCACCTTACAGCAACGCCACAAGTGGCTACTAAATAAGAGGAATTTAGCGGTGAATGACCTGGTTCTTGTGGTGGACAAAACTGTGCCGAGATCCCGCTGGTTGCTGGGTCGCGTAACGAAAGTGTTTCCTGGTGAAGATTCACGTGTCCGCACCGCCGAAGTGAAGGCAAAGGACTCTTCTCTTACTCGTCCTGTGACCAAGCTGTGTCTCCTTGAAGAAGCTGCGTGACGGGTTTGCCGTAGAGTGCACTGAACGTTGCAAGATTAAGCTGAAAACATTGTCGTGAACTAACAGTCGCTTTAGAACTTTAACATTCATTAGTGATTGTCTACGGGGGCTCGTTCAGCCCTACCCCCCGGGATGTTGAGGCCAATCCTCAACAAGAGAACAATTTTGATTTCCTAAGTCCGTTCCATTCCATTTTTGTAATTCATACTCCCAGCATGCTCAGTGAGCGCGTCTCAGTGTCGTCGTGTAGCGAGAAAGAAACCATGTGCTTTGTAACGCGCTAGTCGCCGGGAGTTTCTCATCGTATGGTGAGTCTTAGGAGCTCGTGTATTTCCAAATCCCGTTCCAACAGTGATTAAGTGTTTGTTTTGTAGGTTTTTACTTGCGAGGTGAAGCTTGTTAGCCAAAGATGAGACTCCAATTCCGATCCTGTTGTGTTGTTAAGAAAATATGCTGAGTGTGCAACTCTCGATTATTAAACTTGTGTTCAAGAACCCTTATGGTGTGAAGGCGCGTTTTGTCCCCTAGACATGAGGTTTACTATTTTTGTTGAAATTCGCATCGCCTGTGGGATGCGTGTGGGCTCATTGCGGAGAGGTGGAAACTCGATTTGGCTATGAGTAGGGTGTGAAGAATTGAGATCGAGGAGGACATCCTCCGATTGAGGTTCTGCGATGGACGTTTTTGTAGCTAATGAATCAACACTGGGTGTTTTTTTGTTTTTCGTATTCTCTGGTGACTTAGAATATATGTTATACATCATATTTGATCTGCGGATAAAGTGATGAAGTGAATTTCATCCTGCAATATAAGTGGTTGAAAAAGACCCCTATCCACTCGATCCCTAACATTTAAGACGACAGGACTCAACACTCTATCCATTGAGCTAATTAAGCCAACTGGGGGAAAGTAGGCTATTGCGAGTTCGTAATATACACGATGGTGGGAATGTATTAAAATGACTCCCAATTATGAAATAAGTTATGTATTTGAACTGCTTTTCGTACTCTTTAACAGGTGGCTGATCCAAAAGAAGACCGTGTTAGTGAACTCGCGTCAACAGGACCTGATCATGAGTTAATGATTGATACCGCTTCACCACCAGAGGAGATCAAGGAGCGTACTATACAGTTGATAAATTATATGAAAGGTAAAGATGTTAAGGCTGAAGAATCTGTTACCAGTATTGAACTGTGGGATTTTGCTGGACAACACCTGTATTATGCATCCCATCCTGTCTTTTTATCATCACGTGCGCTGTACATCTTAGTGTGCAACCTCAGCAAGTCATTGCATGACATATCCAAGCCCTGTGTGAGACAAGGATCTCGTAATGTTGAATTGGAAAACCCAAATGGAGAGACTAATCTTGAGAACTTATTGTCTTGGCTTTCCACGGTGCATAGCGTCGCACAGATGAGAAGAGAAACCTGTGATGATGTAGAAGAAACGGTGCCTCATCATTTGCGTCCCCCAGTGATCATTGTAGGAACTCATGCAGACAAACCATTTGAAGACATTGCAACAATGAAAACGGATATCCAGAACGCAATTGCTGGTAAGGACTATGAAGGACATGTGGTGCGGCCCATCTTCAGCATTGACAACACTGCGAAATTACTTCAAAATAAGATCAGAAGTGTTTTTAGGAAAGACGAAAACATTGATGACATCCAAGCTCTACAAGTCAAAATCATGGAAGTGCTAAGACAGGAGCCTTACTTTGGGGAGGAGATACCTGTGAGGTAAATAATGGTTTTTAAAAACAAGAACACAATTCCATTAAAATTAATAATAATTTCATCGGTAACTCAGTGACTCTGACGTGACACTAAAGCGTGTCCAAAACAGGGTGTTACCAAACTTAGACTTAAGACATAAGAGCCCCTAAAATCGGATCCGTCGCCGAGAAGTGTAAGTGAAATTATAACCGAAGTTAAAGTATAAACTGTCAAATTATCTTCTGTCCGATCCTTTCCACGGAAGTTTTGGTCAAACTGAGCGGTAAATTTTAGGGGTCTTAGTTTTCGTAGTTTCGAAAACAAAGACCGGTCGTAGTTTTCGTTATTATGAAACTGAACTAGGACCCCCAAAAGCGAACCGTAAAATATATATGAAGTCGGATTACGACCGTTCAAACACTACATGATGCCGCAAAACTAATAAAAACTATCATCAGCTCGATCCGCGTCTAATTTGCACACATGTCAATTTATTTTTGCGGACTGGCGATTCTTTGTGTTTTGCTGTTAGGACAGATTGGTTTTTCTCGCTGGGAATTAATTTTTGCGATTTTCAAAAAGTAACCAGTACACTCAGGGTGTAATAGAAACACATATTTTCGAACAGTATTACATTATGCGTACCCTGTGTAAAACCGGTAATTCATTGTATTAATACCGTTTTGTTTCTGAATGAAAGAGGCAAGTTGTAATCGAACAGACACGATTTCTTAGTACTGTATCTTTGCGGAGTGAATTTACGTGAGAGAATATTTACTCTGGAGTAAATTTTTGCGGTAACTTCAGTTTTCTTTGCGGGAACTTATTTTTGCGGATCGATGGAAAAATTGCAAAAATTAGAACCCGCGAAAATTTGGTGCCACACAGTATCCTCATTATCGCTTTCGGAAACGTTACCGCGGGTAGAGGGCAGGCACGGAGGGGTACAACGTTCATGATTTTTCTGGTGGGTATGTGCTGCCGGGTGCCCAAATTTTGACCCTGTTTTATAAAGAATACCCTTTAGGCTAGTAGCTCAATTTTAAACACACTGTTCTAGATTTTAGTAACTTTCCAAAGCCCTCCTTTTTTGAAAAACAAAGTTATTTCGTTGCCTTTTCGACTTAAACTTCGACTTCGACTCAAAATACGACAATTTTGTCTTTTTCTGTTTGGAGCGCAAAGCACGAATGCAGAGTAATAATAATAGACAGTACTTCAACTGAATAACTAGTGGCCCTCAAACTAAAATTGTAAAACAAAAATAAAATTAAGTAACCAAAATACACATCGTTAAAGAAAGAGAACTATAAATTTATATAAATGAAATACGGTATTACTCGACAATTACTTTACCACAGCCTACGACACGCAACAGGGGTTCAACAGTTTGTTTATTTTTTATTTTTCGTTTTATGGCTGTTAGCAATTTGAAACTTTCATGAGTTCGAAATCTTGTATCCCGTTGTAGGTGAAAGGAAAAAAATATTTCACCCCGTTTTAAATCAGGAATCTCAAACTCACTGCCCCGTATAGCTATAGCTCCCCCGTATAGCTATTTTTGGGGAATGCCCCTCCACTGGGTTCGGGGGTGGGGGGGCTTTCCACCCCGGTCAAACGTTTAAAACCATTTTCCTTTCATTAAGCGAGATTTAGTCGACTCAGTCGCTGTCAAGTTAAAATAAGACGAATGTGCTTTAACTAATGTCGAAAACCAATTGGCTCTTTTCACTGAAAATACCTCCTAGGGCTAAGCAGACTTCTGTCGACAAATGGCGCGCACAAGTTCCCGGGTCCTATTTTCAAATGAACCTTTTAAATGTCAACGTTAGATTTTTAGCCGGTAACTCTCTCAGACTATTTCTCTGTGCCCCCACCCTACCCCGAAACTCCCTTTTAACTTTTCCCTCGGTTTCTGGTGATCTCCGGGGTGGCAACGATAAAAATAAACTCTCGGGAAAACGTAATATAGCATATACTCTTTTTTTTGCCCTTTTTGTGTGATGTCTACCGATAACCCAGTTGATGATCGAAAGCGATTTTGATAATATTCAGGTAATGCAATTAGGGTTGCAGCGACATGTCAGTCGCCAACGAAGACAAAAATCTATCCACAGCGGAATGCCGCTTTTACCAAAATTATCGATAAATCGGGATAAAGCATGTTTTCAGTGTACAATTTACACATACGTATTCTATGGCTTTCATCCTTATGTCTGCCTGAATTTATATGTCTACAAATTAGAAGAAGCGAATCGAGCCGATGATAGTTTTCAGTAGTTTTACGGAATATATAGATAGAGGATATTACACGGTGGCGCGAAGATATGAATTTTATTTTCGAGTGGCAAAACAATATTTTACGAACGAGCGCAGCGAGTGAGTAAAATATTGTTTTTGCCACGAGAAAATAAAATTCATATCTTCAACCCGCCGTGTAATGTTCTTTTTTATTATATAGACAAAATGATATCGATAAACTAATAGATTTTTATTCGCCAAAAAAAGTAATCGTGACGTTTCAAATTTACAGTAGAGAAATATAAGACACTGTTTACAATGGTCATCAGAAATAACACTGAGCTGAATAGGGCTCTACAATGACAAACTATCAGCAAAGCTTTGAAAAATGTGTAAGTAAAATTCAAAAGACGCAAGACGCCTACAAATTTCGGATGGAAATTACGGAAATCACGTCATCGATAAACTCACGTGTGAGATTATGGAAAATAAACCACTCGGGTCCCGGATGTAGTTTTTATGAATTTTACGAGTGGTATATTTTCCAGTAAAACACTCGTGTCTATATAATAAATAACTATTATTCACCGAAGTGGAGGTGGCTAGTGGTGGTTATTTACCGAGGACGCGAAGTGGCGAGGTAAATATACCCAACCACTAGCCACCTCCACTTCGGTGAATAATTGTTTCAGTATTAGTATATACTAAAACAGTGAGATAATTGAGCACAAAAATGATGATTTTTAACTCATTTACTGTTGCCAACGAGTACAATTTTGGCACGCAATGACCGAACGGCCGCGGTCGTCGCTTTTTCTTGCCGACAAATAAGACTTTTGAAGGCGTTTGTTTCGCTCTTGTGGGGAAATTTCTTCAAAAGGAGATGTGAATTCTTTTTGTTTTTAAAATCATTCTGTAAAAAAGATTATTAAATTTAGTTTTAAGCTTATTTATGAACAACTCAACTAAACAAGGTGACCACTTGAGACCCCACTTAACGCTAATAGGCCTCTTGCAATAGTTGCTCACGTGATCAACTTTCTGTAAACATGTAAATAGTTCGCTTTTGGACAATTCTGTTGCAGGAACTGAAAGAGCATGTTAAAATTAAGTAACCTTTGGATTTTTCAGCTGTATATCTAAAAGTAGCGATCGCAACGTAAGCGGCCCGCGAATATTAGAAGGAATTGTGTGAGAAAAACAACTCTCGCCACCCAGTCACGCTTGAATAGTTTTGCATACAAATCCTTGTAAATTTCGATACTTATGAACTGTCGCTACGTTTTTCCCTTACGCAGTTAAGGACTCAAATCGCCTGTTTAGAATAAAAGGGAGATTTGAGCCCCATAATGCTTCAGGAAATAATTTACGACAGTTTGAAAATTTCCAAATTTACAAGGGTTTGTATTGAAAACTGGATGGCAAGAGTTGTTTTCTCTTCTAATTTTGGCGGTCGTTGCGATCGCTATTTTTAAGATATAAGGCTGAAAATTGACAGGTTACCTGATTTCAATACGCTTTTTCAGTTCCTACTGACCATATTTTCAAAAAGCCAACTGTTTTCGTGTTTACAAGAAGTTGATCATGCGATCAACTAATGCAAAACCTATTAAACCAGCTGTTTTAGGTAAGCCTATATTTATCTTATTTTTACTTTAGAAAGACCACAAGCAATAACTACAGTATGTTCTCCAGTATCCGGACACTTCAGTTTAACATTGCAATAACTTCCCTTTGTTAGTCGCAAGAGCTCGGAAATTTGGCCCAGCCGGAGAAAATCTATTTAGTCCTTAATATGACGAAAGATAATTAACTTTTTTACGTTTCTTTCCACCGCGAAATTAATATTTTTTCATGAGAGCTCCTAGGTTGCCCAGTATCAGGCCAACTGGCCCATTATCCAGCCACAACAATAACAACGTAATTGTACGTAAATTGTACGTACAGGCAAGCGACTAATAAGCTTCTCTTGCACTTGCAAAGTAGTCTGGCAATCGATTCGAAAAATATAAATCGATCTGGGAACCTAGCATCGTGAAATAAAACATAACAAGTGACTGGGGTATGGTGGGGACGGCGAGCGGCTGTTAAATGGTATAGTTCTTATTTCCTTGTCTAGGAACTTTTTCACTGATTTAAGGAACGCATCCGTGGACAAGCCAAAGCAGCGGTTTGCAAGCTCAATTAGCCCATCTGCAAAGCGGTCTTTTTCTTCATTTTTTGTTGAAAAAAAAAAAAAAAACTGGCGAAGGGACCTCAATCTGAGTCAAAGGTCACTCTCCTATTTAGTCTGACCTACAGTGTTGATTTCGTCATGCTCAGTCCCCACATTTGGCCTGATTTTTCTACTACTAATTCCTCCTTCTTTTACACCTGTCAATCCCGTTGAGACATTTTTCAGACCGTTGCAACCCCATTCTAGCAGTCACAACTGGGGAAAGTATGAGAATTCCCGGTTTAACTCCGTCGCTTTCAGTTATATATAGAAAATGCAGTCACGCGAAATAAGCCGTGCACACGAAATCAAGTCGCCTCTGAATGAGTGAAGAAAATAGAATTTCCATAAGGAGTTGAGTAGAATTACATTTTACGATTATATCATATATCCTAAGCTTTAATTATAGTTAAAGATATGAAATAAATCTTATCCGGATAATGTACGCAGCTAATTCACCGATTCTGTACAGCAAAGAAAAAACTGTCTGGATACTGGGCAGCTGACATTGATACATGGTGAAAGTTTGCGGCCTCCGTTATTCCAAACAAATCGAATTTCAAGAAGAATTAATAAAATTTCTGAGAACCTGACGTCTTTAAATGTCTTCACTTTAAATATAAAACAGTCTCTTTGAAAATATCACATGTTACCTACCCTTTTCTGAGCAGCACTAATTTTACTGCGCAGTAAACAGCGTGATATTAGCCATGAAAAGTTTACTCACCTGAACAGAACGGCTTCTTCTGCGACTGTTTCGCAGCTTTAAACTCGCCAAAACTTTTATCTTAAAGCTGAAATGTTCAGCTTTCATTCGAAATACTTCGTTTACCGAGAAAAGTGAAAAGAGCGCCTCAAAAACTGAGTTTTTGTTTAAGTGGCTGGATACTGGTACCGTCCGGATACTGGGCAACATACGGTAATGAAAAATCTCTAACTTTGCACATGACCGCTAAACAAATTCCAAACGTCTTGGCGACTTTTGCTGCAACGTTAGTCGCCACTTTTTGCTATATGGCGACCAGAATGTTCACAGCTTGGAGCGATTTTCTTTAGTGATGTTTACCGCTTCGTTTTGGAACGTGTGCTCTGTATTGTAGTCGGTGCAAGTATAGTGTGCAGTGACATGGGTACTATAACGCGCGCTATTTAGTTTCTCTTTGTTTTTATAAACTAGGTGGCTGAACTTTGAAAAAGTCCTCAACGCTTTACTTTCCAAGCCCAAGCCAGTTTATTACCTGAGTATAACGAAGCTACGGACCCATGCCAAGGAGAAGTGCTTCATCCATAGTAAGAAAGAGTTTACCACCATGGTGAATTTCTATCATGACCTGGGGGTAATTATCAAGCACCGTAGCACAGCCATCTTGAGTACCCAGTGGCTGATAGACTTGTTCGGGCAGCTGATCACTATTCCAGATTTTGAAGAAATGGTAAGAAATACATTTTAAACATGTTTTTAAACTTGCAATGGTTTCTAATGGCCCACATTTCGGATGACTTTACAGGTGTCTAACCGTGCTATAGCTTATGAACATGATTATTAAGTGCGTCGCACGCTATCTCTTTGAAAATGTTAACTGTTGCAAATTATTTGTGAACAACAAAATCGTAGTGGGTTGGCCCTCTATTGAATATTTGCCCAGTGTAAAACAGTTAGGGTGGACGTTTTCTCGTGGATATAATTCTGAAATGAAGTCTTACCCAACCAAACCTATAACAACTAATTTCAGTAGTATTAACGCCTGGTCAGCAGTCTTCCTGCAATCAACCCGCTATACTCGCTATACTATACAGTTAATCATTTTCACTGCACCTTCTTTCTTGAACGATAAAATATCCCAAGAGGATTCTTGTTTCAATTTCGAAGGACATCAGGTGACATCACGAGGTAGCCGCCAACAATAAAAGGAGCTTATAACCAATTTACCTGCAATTTACCCTTTATGTAGGCTCAAAGGAATCGGACAAACAAACGGAGTGAAAATACATATTGTATATATAAACGAAGCCTTACTATTTACCTCCCAAACTGATGCACGCGCGGAGCGAATTGCGAAAAATTTGTAACAACGTCTCAACCTACACAAAAGGTTTGTAAGCGAGAGAATAAAACTTGTTTACAGGATTAGCAATACTCGTCTTGCGTTTCAAACTTCTAAAACAACAATTTATAGGCCGCAAACTTCCGAATTAAAGTCCATAGTTATATAAATTTCAATTATTGTTTCATTGGGAGAACTTTGAAAAATATATGATCTTTTATACTCTACCTTGAAGCAGGTGAAACAGAACTCATAAAATTAATTCTGAAATACGTGCGTTGTACCGTTCGCGATAGCCGAATTAGGTCAAATGTCTTGAAGCAGCACCCACACAAAATTATGGAACCGTCAACAGTTGCATCACTGTACCCAACGTTTGAATCATAAGGATATTTCAATACTATGCTTCAAAACACTTTTAGCCGTAATAAAAGGCGAAAAAACTGTGAAGAATCAAGATGGCGCTCTCTAAGTGCCCTGGTTTGACCTTAAGCAATGTCATTAACGGTTAGATGCCAAAATCGCATTGGTTCCTACGCATCAAATCATAGTACCTTCAACCTTATTGGCCCTGCAACAAACATCCGAACATACAAAGCCACGAAGCCACGAAGATACATACTCTCACACCACTGACATATGAGCTATTTTTTCAAAATAGCTCAAAAAACGAAGAAGTTTAGCTTGTACGAAGCAGTATTGTCTCTTACATACGCTGACTTTCTTTTGGCTCGTTACGCAACTCTCTCCAACCAGATTACAAGTAGTCTCTTCCTTAGGGGATAGTGGAGCGAGCGAATTACGCGAGCGCGTGAAATTTGTCACCCTCGAGGAAGGTGACAAACGCTCCTGTATTTTAATCGCTCAGATATCCCAGAGGAAAATAAGGGGCTACTCGTAGTCTATCCTCAGTAGTATATTAGGCATAGAATCAGCCTTTTTTTCACTGTGGAATCTTCGCTGGAATACATAAACGCTGATGACGTCATAACCTTTTGTCTTTATCTCATGAATAAAATGCTGTCAAATCTCTTTAAAGGTTAAAAAATAGCACACGACCTTATCTTAGAACCAGTTTACATCGAGGTGGAGGACCCTAGGTAGGTGAGGTAACCCGCTGCTGGTCACCGCAACAATCATGTAAACGTGGTCAAATTAAAATGGGACATTATTTGGACAGGCGGGTTACCTCACCTACCTAGGGTCCTCCACCTCCATGTACACGGGCCCTAAGATAAGGTTGTGTGTTATTTTTAACCCTTTGGACAGGTTTTCCCGTTATTTCTTGGTAGATGAAGGTCTTGCTTTTGATTGGTTGACGACTACATGTAAGAACTAGGAAAAGTATTCATTGGTTGATCCAGGTTGTTGAAGGAATAAGCGCTAACTCGCCTGTGACGTAGTTATGCAAGTTACATTTCATACCGCTTTCATTGTTCAATAAGTTGTTCAGGTTTACTACGCGCGCAAATCGTTAATTTTTCATGAGTACGAAGCCCACTATCCATTTCTATCACGAAAAACGTTTTTCCACTTTCCCACATCCCTTTTTCCTTTTCCACATTTCATTGTTTCACATTGTTTCCTTCCACCACGACAACCACGTTTCTATAGTTTTCTCTCGGCGCGAGGTTATGGTGAACGTTGTGAAGAAAAGAAAACTTAACTTCGTAAATCTTCTAACGTGATTGGAAAGAATTGTGTGACGAACCAAACGGAGGACTGCTTAGAAGACCATCCTCTTTACTTTTATTCACACAGTAGTACTTGTTAGGCAGACTACGGAACTTTTTCTTTATATTCGTCCCCACACAAAAACGGGAAACTCAAGATCTTTTTCTTTGTTTGTTAATTAAAATATTAAATAAAATAACCAATAATTTCCAAGTGCATTAATTAACTGGCTCAAAATTCTCCTAAAAAATTTCACTATTTCAAGAAAGCTTTGTCATTGGCCTCCACCTTATTCTGTTTTAGGTTCCTAAGGTTGCCAAGCACTGGAAGGAAGTTAAAGAAAGCGGTGTTCTCTCCATGGAACTGGTTGATCTTGTGTTTTCCAACTTTCTCCTGAAGGGTGTTGCCAGGAAAGACATTCTTGATTTGATGGAACGATTTGGATTGATTGCAAAATTTTCATCTTCAAAGACAGGTGAAAAGTATTTTGTTCCATCTCAACTCAAAGCTTCGCCTGATTCCCTTTGTTTTATGGCGCCGTCAAGGCTGGACCCATGTCCCCTGTATGTTTACTTTGTCGGCGGTTCTGTTCCCCATGGTCTGTTCACACGACTTGTTTCTCGATCTGTCTGTTGGTGTTCTGAAGCTGGTCCAACTCAGCCCCCTACCCTGTTCCAAAATGGAGCGTGGTTTGTTATTGGGAAGCAAACTTTCCACGATTTTATTCTTATTTGTAAGAAGCAGTTTATTAAGTTTTTTATCAAACAAAGAAACCAAACTCAGCAGATCTCAGTAGATGACACAAGTAAGGTGGCGGTGCAGGTTCGTGAGTTTGTGGAGGCAACTTTGCAAGTTTTGTCACGTGATCTCTATAAAGGTGGATTGCAGTATCATATTCGGGTCGCCTGTCCGTATTGTCAGCGGGAAAAATGTTCAAGGCATGATCAGATTGCATGTTCTCATGAAGGTTGCCTTCACCTCCTTGAGTTACGACAAGGTGATCCTCTGATTTGCAAGAAGAAACCTGCAGAGGAGGTACTCACGGTTACGGGACAAGAACAGTGGTTCTCACGAATAGAAAGTAAGGTAGGTCGCAGTGAAATGCAATCTCTAGCAGTGCTGTTAACATATTACATATAAATCGAATACGCATACTACTTAAAATTGTGTCTTTATAAAGAGTAGCCACAGTGACTGTAGCCATATATTTAAACTAAAGAGGCTTCAGCAAAGTCCTGGAATGTGCTTTGTTAAGGTTATAGTATGAGGTTTAACGTATGCCTTTATTTATCCTACCAAGAGCTCCACTGGAGTGTAAGAGAAGGCTTTGTTGCTATCAACCTAGCGACCATTGGTACTTGAAATCAAGTACGCTGATAAGGTCAATTGGCTACCATGTATTAATAATTGTTATTGGCGTGTAGCCATAGCAGTTGGTATATAACTTTTTCTCAAGGTCTTTGTACATGTGCTGTTTTGCTTTGCGGTTGAGCAATAAGTTTGTAGCATCTACCGTGTTGATAAAATGTTTTGCAAACTTTCATTCAAAAAGGTAGAAGCCCCCAGATATGAAATTTTTATTTTAAAGTATCCAATTTTGGTTGCTATGCAGGAAGCGTGTACTCCATCATCATCACCTGATACCCCGCACAGGCTCGTCCAGAGCGTCTGGTACTGAAAGTTACCCTTCTCGCGAATGAGTGGGGCTCGTCCAAGGGTGGCTTGTCAACAATAAACAGGACTCTTGCCATACATTTGGCAAAAGACCCACACGTAGAAGTGACCATTCTTGTACCTGAATTTGAGTGTGGAGAGAAAGACAAGAGAGTGGCCGAAAGTCACAACATCTCCATTAGGGAAGCAAAGCATCTTCCTGGCTTTAGTGACCCTCTTGACTGGTTGAGCTATCCACCAGAAGACCTTGACATTCAGGTTGTGATCGGCCATGGAGCAAAACTTGGTAGACAAGCGCAAATTATAAGGAGGTATCATTGCTGCAAGTGGTTTCAGGTTGTGCATACTGAGCCTGAAGAACTGGCAATGCATAAGAACTATCTAAGCGCCATTGCCAAGGGAGAGAAGAAAAACAGAGCTGAAGTGGACCTTTGCCAAATTGCAGATCTCGTTGTAGCCGTTGGACCCAAGTTGAAAGACGCGATCTCGTCCCAGTTGCGCTCATCTCGTCGAGAAATCTTTCAATTAATACCAGGTTCCTTTACAGAGTTTTCAGATGTTGAGCATGCTGAACAAGAGAATGTGAGTTTTAAAGTGTTAACCTTCGGTCGTGGTGATTTTGAAGACTTTAGTCTTAAAGGATACGACATTGCTGCTCAATCCATAGTGGAATTGCAGGAAAGTTCTTATAGTCTTGTTTTCGTTGGCGCACCCGATGGAAGGCAGGATGAAGTCGCAGAAATCTTACTCCAGAGTGGCATTTCAAAGAACCAGCTGATTGTGAGATCATTTGTGAAAGACAAACAAAGATTGAGAGAATTGTTTTGTGAAGCCGATCTGGCCATCATGCCATCAAGAACTGAGGGGTTTGGTTTGACAGCATTGGAGGCCATGTCAGCTAGTCTTCCCATTCTAGTTAGTGGAAACTCCGGATTTGGAAAAGCACTGCGTGGTGTTCCAAAGGGTGAGTCATTCGTGATCGAGTCTGATGACCCCAAGGAATGGGCAAAGGCAATTGCAGCCATCCGTCAAAAATCGAGGACACAGCGGCTTGAGGAAATCCAAAGACTGCGAAGAAGTTATGATGAAAGATTCTCTTGGGAGAGTCAGTGCCAGGCCCTTGTCGCCAGAATGTGGAAGATGGTCTATGGTAAGAAGTTAACTTAGCCTAAAGGAGAGTAATGATGATAGTAACTATTATTCATTCAAAATATTTTCCGTTTTTGATTGGCTAAAAGCGCGTGCATAATTCATCATAAACAGCTACTGTTAACCAAATTTTTCATTTTGAACAAATGACGTCAAAAGTGCAGCCAAAGTTGCAGATTACTGAACCGTTAACCGTGAAAACCTGGGGACGAGGTTGAGTTGTTTTGGTGGTGAGAAAATGGCTGACACAGTCGGCGAAACATTGTCAAAATCATAGCAAGAAGAAAAAGAAGACAACTCGACTGACAACATCCGCTATTTGGAGTATATTTACAGAGCAGAACAGACTTTTATCTCCTCAATTTCTCGATAAAGATGCACTATCGATAAAAACTTTACATCGACCGAGGGAAGGAAGTTTCAGCTTGTTTTTAGACTTGGAATTATTTTCGGAGGGTGTTATCCACCTCGGCCTTCGTCCTCGGTGGATAACACTCCCCTCGATCTACAGAATTCTTCATATCCTACGAAAGTCGAATTCAATAATTGCTAATTATTACTTCAAACACGGTGAAATTGTCAAGAACGTATCTCATATCAAGATTAGCTTTTGTTTTGCCTTTATGATTCATCCCCGTATTTTATTTGCTTCAGCAAGAGCAAGTGCGTAAGCAAATTTAACAGTATTATGTTTGGCGGTGCACGTGAATAACTGCAGAAAGATTGCCAACGTTAACCTTTTAAACCTCAATAACAGCATTCATATTCTTCACACTGTTATCCATACATATCTTGTGTTACTGATAAGGAGAATTTGTTTAACAATCAAGATATTTTCACGTGCTGCTGGTTCTCCCTTTTAAAGAAAAAGAATGACAGAGATTCGTCCAACTAAAACTTTGGCTTATGATATATCACACAAAATAAATGGAGGGCTTCTCAGATTGGAATCGTTTATTCTTTTCTGTAATTGAATGTTTTTTTTTTCCTAAATTTTACAGGTGTTGAAAAGACCCAAGAAGATACCGTTCCACAGAATGACTTTGAAAACGATGCGGCAAAAAGATCGATAACTGGTGATGTGGTTCTTTGATTTCTCAAATAAACCAGAGCCAAAATACATTTTTGTACTAGAGTGGGGTTATTTTGCTCTCTTGAAACCAGGACAAATTTAGATTTTCGGCTGTTTTTACCTAAAGACCAGTTCATCATGTCCTATTAAACTGACGTGAAATAACCTCATTCTTATTTTAATAATTTCCCTCTGCCGTTTACAGGCGAAGCAATTTTCCTTGCACTTCAACAAATCCTGCTGGAAGCACGCACAGAGTCCAGCAAAACGGAGCTGTCGCAGGCTTTACAAAGGACTGCGTTGGAGAAAGGTTTTGCGATATCTGACAATCAAGGAGAGGGAAACTGCATGTTTTTTGCACTTTCAGAGCAGCTTGACCTCATCAAAGGAATTCAAATGTCCCATGATGGGTTACGCCGAACTATTGTTCAACACCTTCGGGAAAACCCCAGTCTGGTAAGTACCGTTAGTTATTGTTTTTTCTACGGTGGATTTATTTGCAATATATGCGAAAGCCGTCGCATTTTCCCGCTGAAATTTTTTTATTGTTTTTAAGGTTAAAAGCAATAAGGTCTTGTTCTGACGTATCCGAAATACGTGTCCACACGTATAGCGTATTTGAATTTTTTGCGCCCGTCCACATAAAAACGCTGACGTTATTGAAATACAATAACATCCCTTACAGGGCAAACGCAGTGCTACTAGCATATAATGCATGACATCATTGGATTAGAAAACCTCTGTTTTCTTCCGTCCTCACGTAAACGAGAAGTCGGCGTTTTCAAAAGTCTCCTCTGGGGACCGCTTTATGGGGACCTGTGTTTTTAGTGCCCGAAAAGGCCGTTTTCGTGTGGACGGAAGGCTAAAAATACCCTGATACGGGTGGACGGGGCCTTGAATTCTTGCAGCCAAATGCTACGGCTTTACGGGTATGCTGCTGATGAATCGACCCTTTAGGAGCAAAACATCAGCTTTGCACGAGCATCACGCCTATTTGTATTTTGCTTCGTCTTCCGCTGCACGACGTGAAACTTCCTAATGCGACGTTTTGTGGAGGACCTCGAAAGCATGGCGACGAAATATTGTTATTGGATCCGGATGCTGTCCTTAGAATTCAAATCCAGGAAATTTCTTCTACTTTTTTTAATTTGAAAAACGTTACATAAGCGCTTTAAAGGTTTGAAATAAAGCAAATTCATTTCCTTTAATCACGTTTTCGACTCGGAGGCGTAAATGAAAACAGATTTTAGGAAATCTGTTTCTGTCTCCTCGATCGTCTGACTCATGTCCTAATTTTTTATAAGCACGTTATTTTGCTAAGTGTGAAATGTTCACCAAAAGCCGCTTTGTTCGAACAGCATATGTCTACTTAGTGAAGTGAAGCGAAGTGAATACTTTATTTAAAGAAGGTAAGACTTGACAAGTATAGAATGAACGGATAAACTTGAGATCCTCAATACTTGTTATATTTGTAAGGTCATTTCTGACCCAGCGTACTGGTTTACAAGTCGAAATTTCCAAACTTCTATTTTTTCATAGTAAACACCTCTTCCCCCTCTCTCTTACACGTGTAACGGACACCTCCCTAAAACGTCCCAAAGTACTTTCCTAAAAGTGTTGGTCCCTGCCGTTCTTAATCGTTTTTCTTGGAGAGAAAGAGAGTAAGGAGAGTAGTATGGGATGCAAACGTTAGGCCTCGTTTTTGAAGTGAAATCTCTTTAGTATGAAGTGTAACAAATAAATGTCAATGGCATCTTTATCTCTTGAATAAAATGCGGTAGAATCTCATCAACCATAGCGTCACGAGCTCTACGAGAGATGTAGTGTGCAGGTATCATGTTCTTATTTGGTTACTATGCTATCATAGTCTATTTTATTGTCCATTGCAGACAACCTTTTGGCCTGGTTCCGGTTCACTGCTAAAGTGGACATATCTGCTCTAGTGCCGATACCAGCGGGGTCCGCCTTAGAGAGAGCTGACAGCGCGGCTGCCTGAATATATACCTTCTACAAAAGCACTTTACCTCTTTCTCCATTAACTACAGTATTTTCTTTTTTTCTTACAGCCGGATGGGACAGAACTGTTTCATTTTGTTCATGGATATCCATCTTGGGATGCCTACCTCACAAGCATGTTGGCAGATGGTACATGGGGTGATCACGTGATTCTACACGGCGCGGCAAACTGTTTTCAAACGTGCATCCACGTGATCAGCAGTCTTCCGCATCGCCATGACGTAATGATCTGCCCAGAGTTTGATGTTACTGGTAGCAACCGGCTTGTGCTGGGTCACCTGCACGAGCTTCACTATGTTAGCCTTATTCCACAGAAAGGGGGTAAAGATGTCTGATTATATTGCTATTCAAGAATTGCTAACTCGCGATATCAAATTGAAGACACTTGAGTTGAACAACTGGCTGAACCTTTATTGTGGCAACTTATTTGCAAAGATGCTGGCAAGAAACAAGATGTCTTTTATTCATATGTACAGTTTTATAATCCGTCTATGTTATTATTACGGTACAAATAGCCATATAAATAGACTAAGTATTCATAACAAAACATTTTCTGTTTCAAAAAATTAATACAGCCCCTTCAATTAGTTTGATAAATTACTGTAGCATTCTTAATAAAACTTGGTTTTTAGGGCCACCACCTTGCCAGCAGTCCTCTGTAAATACTCCACCATTAGAGCGTGTTGTAGTGTAAGACGTAGCAAAATGCGTGTACTTGTAATCAGCTTGTTTCTGTGTCTTCGAGTGAATAACTGTTGCTGATGATTGTTACTCCGTTTGCGGCGTGTTTAAACACTTAGTCTTACCGTCTGCAAGTAGACGAGTCAGATTTTTTTTCTGACATTTTCATTAGTATTTGGGTGTTAAGAACAGCTTCTGTTTCAGATATCACTTGCCTGAAGTCTCTGAAATAATTCAGTGTCAGTTTTATTCATGAGTAAAAGTTTTTCTTAAAAGATCACTCGTACCTCAAGATGTTCCTAACCACAGAGCATCATGAGTCAAAACACATTTGCAATCGAATTTGTTGGAAAGAATCCTGTCTCAGGTGCTCTTTATCAATCTGTGAATATTTTCAGCCGTTAAGGTAATTTTTTTGGGGGGGATTTTAGTTAATGGAATGAATGCTTAAGGGTATGTGTCTGTGTAAATACAACAGCCTCTCATCCGCCCCGTCGCGGGGAAAAACCAATTCCTTATTATACAATGTAAGTATTTTTATATTAGACGTAATTTACTAGCGTATTTTTCTTACCATCTTAAGTATATATATATTTTATAGACCACTGCTTCTATTTAGGTAGGGTTAAGAATCACGTCCCTCTACCTAGTTAGCGAGAATTTTTTAAAATTATCTAGTAAAGGTGTCGCATAGTTTATCAATTTATACATTAAATAAGTATCAAAATATGTCTAGTTAATCCGTCAATTAGCCATTCATAAGTTCGAGTCAGTGTTAAAGAGGAGAGTGATTCCAGTCGAATAAGGACGCTATTTTCCTTCAAGGCAAGAATCACGTATCTAACATCCATTGTTACAGAAAATGAGCTCTATTTGATTAAAATTGGCTAACACTTTCAATATATTGTTTTTTCTTGGCCTAGTTAAGAATGCAGGTAGAGACTTAATCTTAAAACGCATGAAACGAGCTAGATAGAATGCATTTTTTGGCATTTCACTATTATTTCAGTCACTTTCTGAATTGAGGTATTCCTGGGAAACTAACTTCAAGTTTGATTACTTTCCTGAAGAATCACGAATCACAAAGTAAGAAGATCGCGCGTTTAGACCGAAGCTCGGTAATATCTGAGCTGCTTTTACGTCTCCCGCGCTAATCTTTACTCGAATCAGTGCCACTTCTGACACCGCAAGTCTATTTCACTATAAATTGTTCTGAGATTTCACTTTTGTCTGATGTATTGTGTACTTTTCTTTGAAAACACGCGAAATGCGGCCTTCAGAAAATTTCAGTTTTTCAGTATATATCCAGAGAAGCACATGCACCACCTCCTAGAAACCCGCGCGATGCTTGAACCTTCCCAAGGACATGTCATGTCTTTTTATCATGAATTGGGTAGCAGCAGTTCCCTGTGTCAGGCGTTTGGATAGAAGAGATAGGACGATGAATAGAGCGAAGTGGGAAGAAGGGAAGAGACCAAGGATGCTTACCATTTACACAAACCACCAGGGTGGAAATATTGTGCATAAACACAAAAACTATAAAATTTGACTGGGTCTAATCATCCCATACCGTAAAATTCGAAAATAAGTCCCCAAACCGGTAACGCAAGAAACCCTCCGTTAAATCGCCCCTCCAAATATAAGCCCCCTGGGGTTTCTTTACTTGGAAAATTGCCCTCAAATACAAGGTAAAACAAAGCAAAAACAGTAAATTTACCTCTAACTATAAGGCTAACCCAGTGGAGTTGGAAACGCAAATTCCCTCCGTAGATAAGCCCCTCCGAATATAAGCCCCTCCTGAAAATAAGCCCCTCCGAAAGGGCTTTGAAAATATAAGCCCGGGGCTTATTTTCGAATTTTACGTTTTTGAGAAGCTTCGCAAACGAGTGGCGAGAATCATTTTAATTTTCATCCGAAATTTCTGGTTTTTAACATGTAAATGGTAATAACCCTAATCGCGAGCAGCTCGCACTTTCTAAACACCAGAGAGCAGCTAGGATGGCGAAGGTCTATGGTGGATTTCACGTAGCGTACTGCGATGAGCAAATGTATCACTCATGTAGACACTTTCATAATTAGTCCACTCGCACGAGAGCGCTTACATCAAAACGACAATTGTCGTAGATCGATCGTTCCCGGAACGTCCCGCGATAAATAAGTGTTGGGTGTGCATTGTGCCCAGAACTTTCTATGTTACGATTTTCGTAGCTTTCAAATTAGCATTATTGCTAACTTGGGGACAGAATTCCATGAACTGAAAGTTATTTAACTCGACCAGGCGCATAACGTGGCAAAGACATCAGCGATGGCTCTCCGAAACTGCAGGCTAGGACGGTCTCTTGTTTCTAACTCCCCAAGCTCCTTGCACTGCCCTCGCCCTCCTTGGCTTGTTTGAACGTCTGACCAACAAAGCCAACCGTTCATGCTATTAACATGGGTTGAAATCTGAAAACGATATTACAATTCGCTAGCTTCCGATAAGCTCGGGCGTTTTCGGCTCACATTTTCCTCTGCATTAAGAAAAAAAAACTGTTTTAAACAATCCACGGATTTTTTTAACTAGGGTGTTGATATTTATCCTTTTCTCGCGTCTTGTGATTGCTTTTGTGAAGTTTCAGCTTTGACTGTTTTCTTGTTGACTGTTCTTCTGTTCTGAGCTGATTTTCCTGGGTCTTGCCCAATTCCCTCTCCTTGGCATGGAGGCTGAAATTCGTAATGATGACATTAAGTAATTTTAACACACAACATAAAGTAATAAGACCCACCGTTACTGGACACCCCAGTTAACGTAGCCTCCCTTAATTAAAAGGTGATGTTACACGGGACGATTCGCAACGATGATTTTTAGCACAACACAGCGTTGCAATGTTGGAACAATGTTGTAACCATTCGAGACAATGTCGCAACAATGTTGCAACGCTGTGAAGGGCTAAAAATCGTCGTTACGAATCGTCTCGTGTAACATCACCTTAAAATAGCCTCACTGTTCTGGTTTGTCACGCGGTCCCTCCCTGGTGGGGCAGTAACTTGTGACGAACCTCTGAGGAGGTCTGCGGGACATTACCATCAACGAGACTTTCTATTGAAAAATTGGCTTTTCCCTGAAAACCATGCACAACTGAGATTCCAAATAGCGACCGTTACCCAAACGGTCAATGTTATAGGAGGTCCCTGTTCATCTTCTTGATGGAGTACAGTGTTTCCTTCGAATAATCAGATATAAAAGCTACGACGTATGATCTTG